GCCCAAGAGGTGCAGCAGGCACTGAACCCTTTGTGTCCCACTCTAGATCAAAAGCCCCAGGGTCTTAGTGCTGGTAAGAGTGGGCTCATCACTCAGAAGCCCATGGAGAAAGGTGGGACTCACTTATCACGTAGAGGGTCATGGAAGAGAACGTCCAATGGTGAATGTGTAAATCAATGAGCAGAAGGAAATTCCTGTGCCTGTCTTGAGAGCAGTCTCCCAGTGGATCCTCTGCTGTCTCACAAAGAGTGAACTTAGACTTCAAGCCTCAGAGGCACAGAGAGGAGAGGTGTCTCTTCTGCCTAGTGAGCATGCAAGCCTGGTCATCAGAAAACCAGGCTGGAAAAAAAGGATGGGAACGGAGGTAAAGGGCTAAAGTGAGACAGGCAAAGAGGGACACCCAGGGAGCAGAGAACGAGTGAACTGCTCTGCAGAGACTGACTGATGAGCCCATTCCAAGCCTCAGATTGACCATGCAGTGCTGCCAAGAGAGCCTAGAGGCCAGCTGATCCCTCTTCTTTACTACCACAGCAACAACGTGCAGCTGCCTGCTGAAGTCCAGCAGTCCCTGGCTGTGGAAGCAGAGGCCCAGAGACAGGCCAAAGTGCGGGTATGCCAACTCTGAATATTTCTCATCTCCTTCCAAAGCATCCCTCCTTCCATTTCCACCCCTGGTTTGAGGTCCCTGAGACATTCCACACAAAGATACAGCTCTGGGAAGCTATATTTCCTTTAATTCCTATTCAAGAGCTGTGTCTGGCAAAGGGAGCTGCAGCAAGAGTCTGGGCGAGCCCAGTGGAGTGCCAAATCTGGTACCTGGCCTACAGGTAGGACAGAAAGACACACAAAGAGGTCTGGGGTTATCCTCAGGCCCACAGTGATCCCCATGGGGACCTCTTCCTCAGGGTTTCACCCTCTAGGAGCCCAGCACAGGGCTGTCACCACTGTCATGTACTCTGCACCTTGCTCAGCCCAGGCTGGTCTCCATCCCTTACACTGAGCTGCTCAAGAGCCTGGATGAGGTTGGTGTCCAGCAGCACTCCCACAAGCCTAGACTGGGGGCTGCCCTGCCATGCTTTTGCAGCAGTTTTGCCCAATTGTGAGCCCTGACGGGCCTAGTAAAAACAGGCTAGACATGAGCTCCCAGACTTTTGGGAGCTTCAAGTGGTCTACTATATGCTGTGATCTTCAGAAAGCGGGAAAGTTATAATCACACAGGCCCTAGGAATTTAATGGTGGCAACCTCCCTCTGTAATGAACAGTCCATGCCCTCTTAATCCCAGCCTCACAGAAACTTTTTTTACTCCCTTGTGGTAGGTGATTGCTGCTGAGGGGGAAAAGGCTGCTTCTGAGTCCCTGCGGATGGCAGCTGAGATCCTGTCTGGTGCCCCTGCTGCTGCTCAGCTCCGCTACCTCCATGCACTGCACTCCCTTACTGCAGAGAAACCTGCTGCTTTCATCCTGCCCTTGCCTTTGGATGCCATGAACCTGGTCTCTCCAGCTACCCACAGTCCTCCGGCAGTGAGCAGTCTCCTCACAGACACCACAAAGCTCCCAGAAAGCCTGAAAGACAAGAAGGACTCACCCATGCTCTAAGAGCTGTCCCAGAAATGGTTGCCACGCTGGCCCTGGTCAGTCCTGCTCAGAGAGGGGCAAGATGGCTGGCTGGCCTGTTGGCAGCCCACCAGCAGGTCCTGGTCTGGAGGCAGGAGGGAAGGCAGCCCAGGTCTGTAATATAAAGTGGATTGTACATGGGAGAAGCCTCTGATTTTTTTGGAAAGGGAAAAATATGGAGCACAGGGAGCAGGGCCGGGACGTGAGCATGGGGTTGAGGGAAGAGGGGTGTCGTCCCTTCCCCTTCATGGGGCCAGATGCATCTTGACACCCGAGGGCCTGGCCCCTGGAGTCTGATCCATCTTGCCCCATCACCTCAGCACGAAGGACAGACTTGCCCCTAACTACTTAAATGCCCTCTGCCCCCAAACTGAAGAGCTGGACAGGCAAAGGTGGGAGCCCAACTGTCGGTGGGGGAACAGGAAGGGGCTCGGCACGCCAGCAGGTCGGTGGGAGCTGCCAGCCTGGTGGTTCTGCAACAAGGGAACGAGCTGGGTCCCACAGTCCTGGATGTAGGATTTCGGTCACCACCCATGCGCATACACACACACACACACACACACACACACACACAGGCAACCAAGGGATTTAGCCCTAGTTCTAAAACAGGAGGGAAAGGAAGAGAAGGAAAGGGCAGCCTTTAATGCTTGGCACTCCCTTGAAAGGCACATGAGCTGTGCAGAGAAAAAACAGGCTGTGCTGCTGCTTGCTTCCACTGGGGGGTGAGGCAGGACAAGGTCTGAGCTTGTGGGCATCTCTTAAAATTTTAGAGGTGATCAGTTTAACCAACTCCCAATAAGCAGACGAGGGGGAATCCAGCACCACCAGGGAAGAGCCAGCTGAGAGCCCCGAGAACAGACATACTTTTGCCCGCTGCAGCTGCCTCTACACACAGGGAAGGAACAGAAGAAGTCCTCAAAACTCCTATAATACTCAAAACTCCTACATCTCTCTCCTGCTAAAGCTATTTGAAATACCCACGCACCTACAGATACTGCAATCCTTTCTCTTGGCAAAGATACAGAGCATTCTCAAAGGAAATATCACAATGCTCAATTCTGGTGCCTTTTGGGTGGACATCAGCTCTGCTCCTGCCCTTTCACTTGACCTGCAGCATTTCCCCTTGCTTTGAAGCAGACCTCCCCTGCACAGCCATTCCCAGGCCCAACATTCTGCTGCTGGTGCCCTGGGGAGGCCAAGATAGGGGGCACTTTGTGGCCCTTCTCTTAATTGCTCACACAGTAGTTGGCCATCATGGATGTACTTAGCAGGGGTCGCTCACTCTTGCATTTTTCACCCGTTTTATTCAGTCCCTCTGCCTCCTGGTAACACTCATGCACATTGGCATGTATCATCAGTAACATTTCTGTTAAATGCAGCTGTGTCACGAGGATGGCCTGCAGGTACTGGCTTAATACTGCTGTGAAGCACGAGGACCCCACTTCTACTAAGTACCACATATTCTGTATTTAACTAGACCTTTCAGCTCCCTGGAGCCCCCTTCTAAACGCTCAGTGCTTCCATAATACTCACTCTACAAGTATTTGCCAGCCTTCTTACAGCAAAGACACCTGGCAAACCAGCCCCCTTACAAGTGGCTGGGAAGTAGAAAAAAATCCACCCGTGAACTTCTTGGTGATCACAGGAGCCTCCAAGCTCCAGATCTCACATCTAAATCATTCTGCCACTGCAGCCCTCTCAGGAGAGGGCGGCAGGATGGCTGTGGCTCCTGCTTGTGTGGCTGCAATAGATCTCAGGAGTGATCCACTCATGGAAAACTAGCCCTGGGAAGTGGAACAGCTCTGTCATCTTCCACTGGTGAACATGAACTGTGTAGTTACTTCTCTAAGGCTGGCTCTGGTTATTTCTCATGCTGCTGGAATAGGCCCCTGTTACCTAGCCTAGGGCAAAATGATCCTTTCTCTGAACGCTTCTCTGGCTGCATTTCTAGCTTTGTGTAAAATGATACATGCAGACCAATATTCCTTGACCCATCAAGGACCAGCACCTCTACAGAAAACGTCTCAAAGGAACAACAGCCTGAGGAATGGCTGTCAAGAGACGTTCGGCACAACGTCAGGGCACACACGTTATTTGCTCTCATCTCTGCAGAAGTCAGGCATAGCTTTTTCAAACATTTAACTTTTCTGCAGTTACAGAAAATGCAAATTATAGCTAAGAGCATCCTCAGTTTCAAAGAACACACCTTGCTCCAGCAGGATCTTCTCTCCTTTACATACACAGAGCTAGCAGAAACTTGTCATTTTACCTCCAGGAGATATTAAGTTCAAAAAAATTGCAGAAGGAAAACATCATTTAAAAAAGTACTTCAGGATTAGTGATATATAATGTCTCCAAAATAGAATTTTCTCTGAGGGAGTTGGCAGGGGTTGTCTGAGCCGATGCAATTCCTGACAGCTTCACTGCCTGCTCTTCCAACTTGAGACTGGGTCGAATTGCAGAGTCACGCCAAACCCAGGCAGTTCTGGTGGCCTTGTAGAACCTTGTAACTATGCAGCCTGCCCTGGGTCAGGGACCCAACAGAGGCAGAAGCCCCAGGTGGCCACCTCATTGGGCAGTTTGGCCTGTTGAGGCCAGAAGGGTATTGCAGATGGGAGCCAGGGGGGCTCAGATGCCAAACACAGAAATCACAGGGAGATAGAACATCTAAATACCATCCCAGTGCACTGGGAGGGTACACTGGAATCATCTGAAGTCTGATTTTGTGATCATGGTTGCAGGCAGTTGCCCTGTGGCAGCAATTTGAGAAAGGCCTTCAGGATCATGCACAGCTTCAGGCTGCTTCATGCTTCCTGAAAGGACAAAACTTTCAAAAGAAGATGATTCAAAGATGAACAAAAATTTGTCCATACAGTTCTGTACAATTACTGTACAATTTCTTTCTACAATTTTCTAACCAGTTAGCTGGCAATTGGACCATCTGAAGCCCGGAGGATGAAGGAGGTATCCATTATCAGCTACACAACCAGGCTGTGCTGGCACTGAGAAAAAAACCTCTTCATGCAAGAGGAAAGAGGTGCAAACGACTTACTTGAATGATCCAACAGGGACAAGGCAGAATGAGACAGAGCAGCAAGAAGAGATTGATGAACACAAACAGGAGGCAAGCACATGGCGAGGGGAGGGGAGGAGGGTGCCCAGGCAGGAGAGATGTGGGTATGAGAAAGTCGAGATAGCAATGGAATTACACAAGGAAGATGAGCTGTAAAGATATTAGAGCTGTGAGAGGAGACAGAGGATAAGCAAGACAGATGTGGAAGAGGTAGAGCCAGCTGGAAGAGCGGCCTAAATGCTGGGATGGCACAGAGGTGTTGGGGTAGTAGGTAAGGAATAACGGCAGTGGGTCGAGGGCACCAAGAAACTACTCAGACATTGTTGTTCTTTAATGTTTGCTTTTATCTGGATCCCTTGGACTGACCAGAGGTAGACGCTTTGAGACTTGAGCAGGCCCTGTCTTCTGAGACACTTTCTTGGAAATATTTTTCTGAAAGAAAAACAAAACAACAAACCAAAGCCATTAAAAATACCAGAGTTAAAATGGGCCCAAGGTGTCATATCCTTAACAAACAAATTAGCCTCTCCTCCCGCTTTGATGTCAGAGAGACTGGATACACTGGCAGGCTAAGGGAAGAAGTTTTAATTCACATTCTTTCTCCTTCTCCACATCTTATATTTGTGTGGAACCAGTTGAGAAAGGACACAAGGAAATGTCTTCATCCACAACAAACATGAGACCCAGGGAACTCCCAGCTGCACTGTGTGGGCAGTATCAGTAGGTCAGCAATGTTCAAATAACTCCTGGGGACAAGAAGAGTGTCCTGTGCTATGAACACAAAAGGTCTGTGGCCTCTAAGAGTGAAGGGACCTGAAATGTTACTTCTTTTCTACCCCAAAAATCATCGATCCTAAACAGATCTTCTTGACTATAACAGGGAACACTCACTCACAAGGAAGATGGAGCCAATTACAGCAATCTCCTAGATACAGACCTTGTGTCATATGTCAAAATCAAACAAAATTACTTTCTTTCAAAAACAGACCACACTCAGCAGTTCTTTCTGTCCCGATAGAGAGCCATGGTAAAAGCCTCCTTACTTGGCCTCTGACAAAGAGTCTAGACAAAACGCTGGGATGTATCCAGGAGGAGAAGGTCCTGCACTACACGGGAGACACATGAGGTGTCCTCAAAGACTGCTTCCCTCTCTGAGTTTAGGAGAGGGTTCAGAATACTGATCCTCCTGACCTTGCCCTTCTTTGTATGTTGCTTCTGGGGTGACTTTCTCCTCTTTCTCCAGCTCACTCTCTAGCTCTTTGATTCTCTGCAGAGCTTCTTCCAGCTTCTCTTCAAGACCTTCAGATCTCTCCTCTGCATTCTGAGCACGGATCTCTGTTTCTCTGAAACACAGAAGCAAAGATAATGATGAAACATGAAATCAAAGCAGTGGCTGGTAGGATACCCAAAAGAAAGATTTAGAAAGCTGAAGCGTTCAGTAGGACTGACTGACTCTGTAAAATACATTTATGGTTTCAGAAAAGGGCACTGTTAGAAGATCCATAAGGGACTTCATAGCACATCTATGTAAACCCTGCAAATTGAATTAATTTTAAAACTCAGTGTTTGCTAGCAAAGAGTGAGATGCTGATCTTCATTGTGCAAAGATAAATACAGAGCACAGTCAATCCTATTAGCAAAGCTAATGAGATGGGCTTACCCTGGAAAATGCAAGCTCACAGACAAAACAAGAAGTATGAGGGAATAAAGTTCAGAGAGCCCAAGCCTGTTCAAGCATGGAAGAAGTCATTACCAAACACAAACACTGATGGAGCCCCTTGGGTGTCCCTTCATTGTGTTCCCACCTCTTAGGCAAAACATTGTGTGGCTGTACCTACCAAGCTCCTGGGCACCTGCAGGCACTGGAAGTGCTCAGCTGCATTCACATAGCACCCTGCAAGTGCTAACAGAACCCGAAGTATTAAGAAGTCTTTCAGAAAACCAACATGAGTACTTCTGCAATGTACCTCATGAGTACACAAAACAGAAAATCTGCACACAGATGAAGGAGAGCTGACATGGGTCATGTCTTCAGCTAACAAATCACAGTCAACGGCCCAAGGCAATCAGAATGGAAGGAAGCCCAAAATTAAGCCCCGAGATATTGGATGAAGCAGAACCTTATCAGAGAGCAGAACAGGCACTGGCATAGTATGAAACCCTGCCCCGCTCAAGCCTCCAACACTGGACCAGTACTCACAGGAGCTGCACTTGCAGATGTTCCAGCATTGCCAGGGCTTCAAACCCTTTCTGAGAAAAGGGAGTCGACGACTTGGTGGCAGTCATCTCCCTCTGTTTGGGAAGAGCAAAACCTTCTATAAGCCAATGTGAAACCAACAAAGCCGCATCTCATCTGCAGCATGTGCCTGGTTTGGTGCTGGTGTCTCAGTGCAGTCACAACATAGGCAAGAGCTCTGTATCAGCAAAACATGTAAAACCAGAGGCTAGTGCAGGCACTGAAATGATCCTGGCAGTGAAAATAGACTAAAATGCTTTTCTGACTCAGACATGAAAGTCTCACTGGCTCATAGTCTTGGGTTGCTGGTGCATTTACTGGGTTACAGAGGTTGAAGATGGCTGTAGCCTGACCAGGAATGAAAGAAACAACAAAACAATATTCAGAGAACAGAAAGAGGCAGCTCCTCACAGGATCCAACAGGCAGAAATCAGTTTTCTTTATCTGAAGAAGACAACCAGGGTTTTTCCGTAAAAGTAACTGTTGAGAGGCTCCTAACTCTAAGCTTTGGAGGTAACTGATTTCCAGGGATTCATTTCTGTAAAACGAATCAAAGCCCATAAATAAATGCCTCAGTGTCTCTCCTTGTCACTCTGCACTAGCTGCCCACCTCTAAAGCTTGAAGGGCAAGGCACACCCAGCAATGCATCACGCTTAGGGTGCAGGACCATCCAGTGACAGTTTGCTAAAGATCCACAAATCCTGAGCCTCTAGTCTCTGGATGACTGACTGGCCAGGGAATGGCTGCAAAAGGCAGGCCCTGTGATTTCTGAAGAGCAACTTTACCAAAGAGCACCATCCCAAAGGCAAGTGGAGAAAACAAGGACGTAGGAGGCCAAAACAACATGAACTTCTTGATCCCCTGTTGCTGTGGGATCTCCCTGAATCTCTGAACCCTCTTCAACTCCTCCCACATGTTCAGCACCAAATAATTTTCATCATTTCAGTCTCTGCAGATAGTCCTGGTTCAGACTACACACATCACCCGTTACTGGTCCCACAGAAATCCTGGGGCCATGGCAATAATGCATGAGTCAAGAGGACAAATTGCAGCTGTGGTAACTCTGCTAATGATTATTTAAAATGGCAAGAAGAGAAGAATCAGAGAGAACACCAGCACCTTGCACTGCCCCAGCAGGTCTGACACAAATGTTAAGGGGGGGGTCTCATAGCAGAGTCTGACTAGGCAGCTAAAACCCAGCCCCAAATCTCTGTCAGCAGGCTAAAACCATCAGCACGGTGGAGATTCCTACCCCTGTAACCGACACGACGTCTGACTTCAGAGACTTCAGGTGGACATTGGAGTCGTGTCCTACATATCTGATCATGTCTGCAGTATCTTCGTTGTCCTCAATCAGATAATCCATACCAGCACCTGGCTGCTGCTGAGAGAGAAAAGGAACAAGAAACAGGACATACCTCTAGCCTAGGGGCATTCAAGGCAGCTCTAAGGCCATGTTTCATGTCACATACAGCAAACAACAACTAAAAAGGCTCTGCTGGAAAGTAGCATATTGCAGCTACTAGAGTCACCTGCATAATAGCAATTTCCTCCTTTACTTCTAATATTTCTTCCTCTGTTACATGTTTCCTACTGCCGTTGTCATCTTCACGTTCAAGCTCTTCATGAGCTGAAGAAATGGTAGTGTCCTTAAGCTTCAACTTCAATTCCTGTAAAGCACCATAAGGATCAGGTGAGTAGCACAGTCCCTTTGTCCATCTGAATAACCTAGGCAAAACTAACTGGTCTCTGACTTTCTCTTGCACATATTTAGACTTGGATTTCAGCCAACTAGGAGTGTCCCGAGTATGAATGTATTTTAAATCACAAATTAATATGCTAATTACTGAACATTACATCAGCAGGACTCACTGTGACATACCTGCTTTGTATAGGGAGAAAGAGAGAGGCAGCACATGAACTACAGCACTGACTGTACACAAAGTCATGAACAATGTCACTTTGCTTGGGGGTTGAGTTCAGAACTGATGGAAACAAATTGTTCAAGATAATAAATCTAAATCACAGAATCACAGACTGGTTTGGGTTGGATGGGACCCTAGAGACCATCCAGTCCCACCCCCCCTGCCTGGGCAGGGCCCCCTTCCCCCAGCCCAGGGTGCTCCCAGCCCCGTCCAACCTGGCCTTGAACCCTTCCAGGGAGGGGGCAGCCACAGCTGCTCTGGGCACCCTGGGCCAGTGTCTCACCACCCCCACAGGGAAAAATTTCTTCCTCATATCTAAGCTAGGTGTCCCCTCTGTCAGTTTAAAGCCATTACTCCTCATCCTATCACTACATGTCCTAAAAAGTCCCTCCCCACCTTTCCTGTCCCCCCTTTAAGCCCTGGGAGGCCGCTCGAAGGTCTCCCCGGAGCCTTCTCTTCTCCAGGCTGAACCCCCCCAACTCTCTCAGCCCGGCCTCCCAGGGGAGCTGCTCCAGCCCCCCCAGCATCTTCATGGCCTCCTCTGGCCCCGCTCGAGCAGCTCCATGTCCTTGTCACATTGGGCAGCCCCCGAGCTGGACCCAGCACTGCAGGGGGTTCTCCCTAGAGCGGAGCAGAGGGGGAGAATCCCCTCCCTTGACCTGCTGGCCACACTTTGCTTGATGCAGCTCAGGATAATCCATTTCCTCATCATCTGAATTTAACCTGTTTTTCATGAAAGTAGACCAATGCCAGGCCAGCCATCTATAAAAAACATCCAATTGTCACAGGCAGTCTCAGACATCCATCTAGCAACATAAGGAATTAAACTAGCAATTCAGCCCGATCTCCTGGGCAAGGCAACCACCAGGATTCCAGCTAAAGTCCACCCCAATGGGTGAAGCAAAAGCTATCATGCCCCATGGGGAACTGACCTACCAGTGGGGTAAAATCTAGCTCCACTGAAGCTCTGGTTTTGCTTTAGACCTGCCCTCACAGGAAGGGCTGTGATTTTTAACCCATTTGCAGTTGTAACACCTTGTAGTTCTTAGCTGCCGCTTTGAAATCTTCCCTCAAACTGAACTGTAGCTGCTTCCTTAAGGAAAAGTTTTGAAGCAGACCTTCATTCAACCTAGAACAGCAAATGCAGTTTGTATATACACCTCTGATCCAAAGAGGTTTCTCAGTTCTTCTAAATCCAGAAAGGAGACTGGAGTCCCTTTGACCTCTGAAAGGAGAAGACTACACGCTTGAATCCAGTCACAGCACTCAGTCTGGGAAGACATAATAGAAAATTACTATTTAGGAATTATTGAGCAGAAAATATAGCTGTTAGTATATTCATTTAGCCAGTTAAATAATTCCACCTTTCTGTCTTTATCTGTTCCAGGGACCTACCTGGACCTTTCCACCCTCACCCCACAAGGGAAAAGGAAGACACATTTCTCCAAGCTTTCAGACATGGCATCTGTCACCAGCTAATCACTCCCACCAACTATCTCCTTCAACAAGCGGCTCCTCAGGCCAGTGCAGAACATCTCTGTCACAACCACTGCCCCAGCCCGTGGGGGGAGAAATGAGTGTAAATCCCAGAGTTTAACTTTTCACTCACTAAGGTAACAGAGAAGCTTCTTATGTTCCTTGAAGCCACACCATTTGCCCTGTGCTTGAGGAGGCCTTGGACTTTGGAAGGATCTACCTCTCACATCCCTAAAGCTCAGGCAAAGCTCAGCTAAACACTGGCAGTGATAGTGGTAGCAGTTAAGAGCTTTACCTGCAAGCGTAGAATAAGGAAATGGCAAGTAGGTCAGTTGACTGCAGAATGTTTCAACTGCATTGGTATGAAGGTATAGTGCACCAAGTGCCTCCAGGAACTCCTAAGCACCACTTAAGTCTGGAGGTACGTGGCTCTGACAAGCTCTGAACCAGAGGTGAAGCTACTGCCATTCATACGGAATAAATCTCAGAGGAGAGCCCTTACATACATACCTTGAGACAGGGTAAAGAAAATAAAAAACTGAACATGACCTGACCCAGGTTTATCTCCTTTCCAGAACTGCAGAGTCAGTAGGTAATTTGGGGATCAGGGTAATCCACTGGAGTAGCAGGAGTCTTCCTCCTTGAAACCCTCACATATATTTTTCTCTACCTTTTCCAAAGCAAACACAGTCTTATATACCCCAGACCTAGATATCTGGAAACATACCTTGATCTTATTCAGCTCCTCCAGCTCAAAATCAGCTTCTGCATCCATCTCAGACCGTTTCTTTCTAACAATTGCGTTGACAATCTCACGGCAGGAGCTGCAAAGATGCAGAATGTCATCAGCCCTGCGGGAGTGCCCTCAAAGGCTTTATGCCCTTCAGCCAGGATCCTGCTGTTGTCAGCAAGGCACAGGAGCTATTTGCAGACCTCTGCAGAAGACAAGTCTCCAGAAGAGCAAGCCTTGCCTGCCCCACTCACACAATGACCTCTCGGACAGCTTGTCTGTGCTGGTGCTGTGCTAACCCACAGCGGACGTGTGAGCTCAGGTCCCAGATCAGGTGGGGGCTTTGCTCCAGGTGTCCTGGACTGCAGACTCACTGCCTGTACTGCCCTTACATCCTCTGGAGGTCATCCTCAGAAGTGTGAGATGCAGTCACAGATGCAAGCATTTTTTATAGCAGCACTAGGTATAAAGCAAGCACCGCCATTCTCTTTAGGTGTTCCTGTCTTACTAGAGTCCCTACAGATTCCAGTAAGGCCCATTTAGGACCTGGGAAAATGTCCAAGGACAACCAACTGATGGGATTTGTCACCATGATCAATCTCTCAGCACACTACATATTTTTTCTTGAGAAACCCCCCCTAGATGAAATTTAAAACCTCTGCTGATACCTGACTATAGAACCAGAGAGTCTGCCCATCTCTGCAACCAGGTCTTCAGCTTCGTGATGCAGCTTACGAGCCCTCAGAAGTCTGAGCTCCTCGTCCATCTTGGTGTCTGACTCTTGCTGCTGGAGACACTCCCGGGACAAGCGGTCTGCTGTAATGTGTTTCAGCAAATTTACCAGCCACAGGGTGAGATTTCTGTGCAGTTCAGTCACCTGCACAAAACGTTGGAGCATATCTAAACCAGTAATAAATGACAGGTCTTGCCAAGTAGTCTGAAGTCAGTGCATTTCACATAAGTCAATGTCCTACCTAATTCAATTTGCAGACTGACCTGATGACTGAAACATTTGTTTTTACCATTTTTCCTCCTGTATTCATTTCTGTTACTAACACATCTTTTCCTGTCATGGATCTATCCCTTCAGTCTTTTGTTTAGGATCATATACTGCTTATCAGCCACATGGTGATTTCTCTTTTCCAGAATTCAGCAACAAACCAAAAATCACACACCACACTTATAGAACATTTAAAAAATCCATAGTGAGAGCCTCTACTCTACAATCCTGGGAGAAAGAAGTAAAACCACAGAGAGCTCGCAGCCAAAACAGCTCTCTGAACAGGAAATATCAATGTTATTCCAGAGGAAATGATTGCTAAAGATGAAACAATAAAATTATGTTCATGCACTGTACAGGAGACCTTACAGCTATTTTTAGAGGAGTTCTTCTCTGCTCCTTTGGCTGGAAGACAAAAGCCACAACTCAAACAGGAAAGAAGGTGTCAAAAGAGAAACAAGCATTCCTCACAGCTGCGCTCTGGCCAGATGGAAATTAAAGGAAAGGGTGAATAGTAGATATAGTGCTCTTATCCCTAGCAATTTCTTGCACTTACATTTTCATTAAGATGCATGATGTTCTTCTCAACCTCGTTATTCACGGACAGAACCCATCGCCGAATCATCTTAAGAAAGTCTCTAAGTTCCACCCTGAAAAAAAAAAACAAATCCAGAAACAAACTGACCTTTAGCACACCAAACCCAAATATTTCCTCTCTACCAGACACCTTTCGCTTCCCAGCTGAAGGAAAACAACATATTTTAGTACGCTGTATGCTGGAAACATGACACAAGCATTTTTGTTAATGCTATAGCTGTGAGCAAACTTGGCATTTGCAAGAAATCTTTTACATATACACTATGCACATGCTCTGCAAATAATTTATTTCCTGATGATATTTATCAAATACAATAGAGCACCGTGAGGAAGAATATGCCCCCACAAATCTGACTGTAAATGAATCATGTATTTTGGTGGCTCTTCAAATGTCAAGCTTTCCCAAGCAGGTGGCAGTTCTGAAGGAGACAGTGATGTTCCAGGAGTGATATTGAAGCCAACAACTGTTTCTACAGATATTGCCAAATCAAATCAAATGAAAGACAGTCACCAACCATTTTAACACTTCATGCTTATCACGTTTATTCCCACTACCAGTTTCCTGCACCAGGGTCAGTACAAAGGAACTTTTCTCTTTCCTTACGAGTGTCATTTAACATACAAGGCCAGCCCAGACACAATTAACCCCTCTGTCCTTACGGATAATGTGGTTTCTTATCACTCTTATCTTCATGCAACTGGCTGGAGCCTATACAGCTCATCACTGCATCCACCTGGGCCAGCCATGCAGGAATCTTGTGATAAAATGCCCGCAGCTCGGCTTCGTGCATGCCAGAACCTCGCTTCAGCTTTTGCGCTTTGAATAACCAATCTTCCATACTTCTCACCAAGGCTGTCAAAAACCTAGCTGTGCCTGCAGGGGAAGAAAATACGAATCTTTAATTACAATTCTTTCAGCCAACAAAAACAAAGCTGAATTCAAAGAGGGATGCCAAGGGGGATGAACAGCATATGTGGGAACTGGCTACACTTAGGACTAAGAATGAGCTGTTCAGTAAGCACTGAATTCAAAGCAACCTGAAAGAAAATGGGCTTGATTTGAAGCCCTGACTTTCCTTCTTGTCTTGGCAGATTTGGCTGCCTCGTTGCATAGACTTAATATAACTCTTTTTAAAACAGCTCTGCAGTTACAGCTTGATTCTTCAAAGGTGCAGGTGAGATGGTATGCACAGATGTGCAAAAATGCCTGGACAAGGTAGTAAATCACTTGTTCATTCACTCATCTGGCACATACCAATGGATGTTCTCTGTTTGTTGGGGAATATGCTTGAAATGTAACAATGCTTGCTCTTGATACCCAGTGTTTAAGCTTTCTTTAAATCCTGGTGATGTCCTGGCCTCCAGGACATCTTGTAGCGAAGATGGCATGTTAAGCATATGGAGGTGATGACAATTTTTTTAAGTACTTCAATGATTTTGATGCATGTACAGCTGTGGAGTAGAACTGGTTAGCTTCTCCTCTGGACTAGAAGTGCAATGAAGCAGGGATGTCCAGACTGGTAAGAAAGAGAGGAGTTTACCCTCTGCAGAGCGGAGCCTTTCAGAGCACACTGTGAGAGCCCCACAACCAGACATCAGTTTTTAACAACCAGAAGGCCAAGAAGAAGTAGTAGGAGTTATATTATTTAAGTTTTTCTGCTATGCAGCATCAGCTTAAGAACAAAGAAGATGTGGGTCACAGAAGGGCATGGGATGAGGGAAAACAGTCACTTCTGATCGCTTACATGTGGCTTAGCCATATTAGACCTTACACTGTATTCCAAATCCTTATTAAACAGCAGCTTGCTTTGGGAAGGCTGTCTGTGTCATTGCATTTTATCTTATAAACTTAAATAAGTCCCCAGCAAAAGAGAAGACCTAACTGAAGAGGTCACTCTAGTCCCAAGTGCCAATTTCAGAGTCAAAACCATCTTATTCTCACAAAGAAGGTACACTGGGAAGGCTTTAAGAAGTGATCAAGGAAGACTGAATAAAAGAAAAGACCCTAAACCAAACCTTATAAATTTCATATAAGTCCGTCCTTGTATCTCCCGTCTAAAAGCAATCTCATATCTCATTGTTCTCTCTCCATCTCTAATTCTTGTCATCAAATATCAAATCCTTTGTATTTCTGGCACATGCTGCTTGAGACCAGGTAATCAGATCTTAGAAGATAATAAATACTTCAGGTAACTGAGTGCCATTGCCTTACAGGACAAAATTACCACACTCTCAGTATTGTCCCTTACCTATTCTTTACAATCTCTTTCATTTTCACTGTTTCTTACTAAAGATGCAATGTAAAGAGAAGGAATATTTTTTTTTTTGTATTTTCTACTGAAAGGCCATTATATTACAATGCAAAAACAAATCCAAGCCATTTAAAATACAGTGCCTTTTATGGATCAAGAGAATGTCTTTTCTGTGGTCCAGTTCCCACAGACTTTGTTAAAATAAGCTAAAATCCCTTTTTTTTTCTGGAGTTTACTGTCTGAAGCAATTTTGGATCAGACATCTGCGCTGTGCTGCCTAGCCCTTTGTTCAGATCATGACTAACTATCAAGGCTTCTGACAATCTGCTGTTAACTTTTTGCCATGCTGGTGTCTGGCCAGTTATGGCCCCGTTCCTTCTTTTTTCTCCCTCTTTCTAATGAGAGCTACTGGGAATATTTGTTTCCTTTAGTTGTCTCTTAGGATGGACAGACTTATCAGTCTATCCCAGCTCCTTTAGTAGGCTGAAACATAACAAGTAGTATAAGGTAATGTAGGGAAAAAGCATGGAATAACCCTGAGTGAAAGAATAAGATGACAGTATGAGCAGCAGCTTAGCAAACATGAGTAGCAGTTCCTGACAGCACATGCTCAGTTTAGTTTTAGTCTGATAAAAGGAAATAATATGATTAAAAAAAATCAGACATGAAATAATTCTGAAATCGGACATGAGTCAAGGTCTTGCAGAGGCAAAGGTTGAGAAGGTTAGTTGCAAATTACCCAACGATTGTTTTTTATCTTACACAGGACATGATAACTTTATATAAGCAAAGAAAACATGTATTTGCATACTTTTTTATCAGGATAATCCAATATCTAGATAACGATAACTCTGCATTAGTGATAGGGTAATAAAAAAAGTATGACCCTCTGAGACAGTGTTATCTGGCTAATGATCTTCAAAGCAATGTTCTACTTTACATTTTAAACATTCATTCTTTCCTTCTACATTTATTTTCTTTTCCATAAATTATCCACATAATTACAAACCTCCCACACTCCCTCTGAACATGACTTCCCTGTGTCATATTCACATGGCATGTTCTTTGCACTGTATCACATTTAAAACTTCAGGTATTCTTTTTACGTGTGACTGCAAGTCAAGTTTCTCGGAGTTCATCCCTCGAATGCTCTTGATTCCCAGCACGTACCCGGGGGCCAGACTTTATCTTTGCAAAAGGCCAGTACAAGATTATGTCAGCTGGTCCTTTATTACCTTTATTATCCACTACTTTTTCCTGACATCTCTAAGGAAAGACTGAACTGTAGAATTGGCCATTCCTTACCGTTATTCCCACTTATCCTTGTATTGTATTGCTGGTAGAGTTCACACGCCCTTTCTTTGATTTCTTCCAGGGCAGCGTGCGGTGGAGGCAACGCTCCAGCAACGTCCCGGTGTCGATTCAGCACTGTCTCTCCCAGCCCCATCCAGTGCTCCTGCAGGCTGGCAGCGCTCCTCAGACTTTCTGTCTTTCTTAGGTGCACCTCCCCGCTGTACTGCTCTAGGTCTTCTTTTAGCATCTGAAAGAAAAGCAGCAAGCTTGCCGTGTTGGACCACCCCATGGCTGTGACAGAAAGGTGATGGAAATGGGGTAAGAGAAGTGTGAGGAATCCACGAGTGTGAAGATGTCGCAGTGAGTAGACAGCACAATAAATTGGAACCTTATTGGTGATAAATCTGAGCACTTCTCTGGATTAATATAATTTATCAGTCACCAGAGCTGTTGGTCAGACAGTGCTCAAATGCACAACTAAGTTTAATGCACTGGCTGAACCATGATATTGGTCAATTATAACTTCTCATGTGTAGACTCTTAGCTTAAGCTTCAGCACAAAAGATTTGAGCTGATGTGTTTTCGTTCACATTTGTGATGGGCAGAGATGCCCACTGGGGCTCAGCTAACGTGGTAATTTGCTGAGTGGACACCATTCAATAATATGTCCAACCCCCCAAATCTTACATTTATCAAGTTCTTGATATCTTGTAGGGTTTCATCCAGTAGCTTTTCATTCATTGGAGATGAGCTAAAGCAGAGGGAAAGAAAGGGTGAGAGCTGAGAGAAGAAAATCCTGTAGTAGCCAAGGTAAAACCGAGAGTCAGGATATATAGTCTACACATACCAGGTGATTTGTGATACAAACTGTAACTTGAAAGAGAAGTAAAAACCACCAGGCCCTACTCAGACAGGGATTTTTGCTCTCTCAACATAATACGAACACTGGGTGTCAAAGTTACTTCCAGCAATGATGAAAATCAAATTCAAGCATATATTGAAAATTCAGACATTAACAATTCTATGATTGAAATCTATAAAGTGATGTCTTTTGTTAACGCACACACCATGTATATTTCTGCATTTTATACTTGCATTTATATGTTGTTTTATTTAACGTATCACAATGAAATAACAAAAAGCCTAAAAATTATAATCACCTTAGCACAGAAAAAGACTGAGTTTGAAGCCTCATGTGTCTCAGAGTCTCGTATCTGTCTGTACATGAGAGAACTGAATGCTCTATTGGAGCACTAAAGTCTGCATTCAAGTTAAAATGAACCAAACTAAATAGAAGAATTCTGTTACAGCAATGGCAGCTGCACAAAGGACATTGGCTCACAGCAGGAGGGTTCGATCCACTCATTTCAACCACAAACTGGAGTTACCATTAGGGACCTGGTTATCAAAATAAATGTGTCAAGCAGAAAAATAGAGCAGTGAGGGACGTGCAAATTGCAGATCATACCAAATCTCACCACACTGGAGAGTCAGTGCATGCTTTGCACTGGGCCAGTGAGACCTATTGTCACAAGGCAAAGGTTTGGGGGGGCTGACTGCTACCCCCAGTCCCTCCGGGACACTCACGGGTCGCTGCTGTGGAAGTACTGAAGCCACTTGTGGAGGCTGCTGCAGACAGTTTGCAGTTTTCCCTGGCTGGACTCCTCGGAACGCTGTATTTCCGCTCCAACACAGCCCAACCTCTCCCTAAACTGCTCAGTCTCTTCCTGCAGATCTGCCAGGTCTCCCGTGTCCTGCAGGCGTTGGGCAATAGAGTGGGAAAAGGGACCGTTGTCATGATTATTTTGGTCCAAATCAGAGGAATTGTCTCTTTGCCCTGGCTATTTTGACATATGTACGTATCAGAGATCTGGGAAATGTCTGTAATTCCACAGCATGGCCCTCACAAACGCTTTGAGACAGGACTAGGGCAGCTCACCCTCCCCAGGCACGTCAGAACTGAGGGTTCGACTCCTTGTTGCTTGTGTGCTACCGAGAGACCGTGCAGTCCCCTACCTCTGAAGCCAAAATTACAATGGCCTGGATCTATTTTGGTTTTATGGAGGAGGAACGGGGTGAGGAAAGAAAGCCACAAAAAAAGGGGGAAATTTTGAAGCAGAGAAAAGGGGACATGGAGTAAAGAGATAAATGCAGAGAGAGTGAACTCATTCAAATTTTAATGCTCGTTTGAAACTAGACCGTGATTTGAAAGTTCGAGTAACAGTCAAAGTACTGAATGCTTGACTGAGAACCGTAGAGCTACATAAACCACACGTACACACGCTTTGAACAGGTACCTGTCACAGGCAGGTCCCTACCTTTGATTCCAAGAGGACTAGGAAATGCTTGAGAATGTTGGTCAGTGTCTTTTCACTAACATGGAGCCTGTGAACCAATGCCAGCTGGTTTCTGTCTATTATCTGAAAGAAACATTATTATCTGCCTCGTTTTCTTCTGAGGAGAAGCATCTGACAGTAACATGGGAGCTTCACCATAAATGAAATGGAGATCAAGTGGCTGAGTCCACTTTCCTTACAATTAAATCTCTGCTCTTCCAGACAGCCTCAGAAGTTCTGCTAACACATTTTAAACTTGAATGGGATTAAGTAGGAGATTATAAACAAGGGGGGCACACAAACATGGAAGCACAGAATTAACCAGGAATGATACTTTGTGAGGAGGTGTAAGGAATCTGGTTATGATATTCTAAATTATAAGGAATAGGAAACTTTTTAGTCAAACGCATCTCTGAATGGAAATACTAATAGAAATCACGGAAGTTCTTCCTGCATGTAGCCTGGAGGTATATACCACAAATGCTGTGTGAATTAACTGGTTCCCGTTTTAAAACCACACATGTGAAACACAACAGACCTCAGGAAATGAGGTCAGGGCAGGTATGAGATGTGTTACGACCCAATCGCATTGAATAAAAACGTTCTTTGGGACAAAATCTGCCTTTGAAAGAAGACTGCTAGCTATGACAGCTTATACCTTGCAATGTATGACTGATCTCCTGCACCTACCTTCAGAGCCAGGTCATATGCAGCTGAGCTCCAAACATCTCTCTCTTGGGCTAGCAGCAGAACTTGCTCTTCCAGTCGTCTTCTCTGCAACTCATATAACTCCTGATACTCTTCCAAAAGGCTAGAAGAAAGGAAAGACAATGAAATACGTGCACCTATGTTTCTCATTCACGTTTACTGTCTTTCTCCCAATTCCTAGAGCTTTTCTTAGACATTTTCTCTTCCTCCTTCCTTCCTCAGTCACCTCCTGCACAGCCTGTAAATTCACAGGTCCTTTTCCCTGAGCCCCTACAACACCCTTCTGTTGATATTCCAATCAGTATGAATACAGATCGTTGCTGGAACTAGGCTAGCTGTTATCTTCATGACACAATTCCTGTAAGTAAATCTGTGTGCCTACTCACTCACCACAGCTCTGATGCCAACCACCTAAATCCCTGATTTCTTAGGTATCTGAAGATGCCCGCAAGATCTTCAGAAGTTCAGAGGTCCAGGCTCTGCTAGACTATGAAGACTCACTGGCTGTGAATGTGGGTTGAAGAAAAGGAAATGCAACTTTCATAACTTAAAACTAGAAATGCTTTGAACAGCTTTCTATCTCTTTGAGGAGTTTAGCATTTATAGCAAAATAACAGCATTTGTCATAAACAGCCAAGCTCTCTTTCCACAGAAGAAAACCAGCCCTCACCTCTCCTTCCCAACAACCCTGAGAGAATGATACCAGCACACTGCAGAAATCTCCCAACCTCAACTCTGAAAGCAACTTACTTGGCATTTTCCTTAGCCTCCTGCATGCCTGCAGCTAGCTCCTCTTGAGCTTTTTCAGCTTCTTTGGTCACCTTGTGGTCGTGTTCTCGTACCTCGTACAGCTCACTGAAACAGCAAGGAACAGTCTTAACGCAGCTTAACCCCACCCAAAGGTCTCTACTCTGGCAAACACAGACTGGTGGTCCCTACACTATCATGCAGGGCTCTCTTCCTCCAACACAATCATCTCACTGTAGGGGTGAAAAGCATCTTGAAGACCTCCTCTTCCCATGGACACATGTTGCTCCAACAACCCCTTTCTGCAGTCCCCCACCAACGAACCTCCAGTGTGCCAAGGAAAGGCGGTGGCTTTGACATTATTTGGCACTAATAATGCAGTGAGATTTGGGTGCTGTGAGAGTGTGAGGATGCTCAAGTGTGGTCCCCGTAGCTTTGCTTCAGATCATAACACTGTCTTCCTGCTTCTATGGGAGGAAGATTAGCAACCCAAACAAAATCAATGGACTAAGCCCAGGGCATAATTTCTTAGGATCAGGCAGGATTCAGACCTGGCCAGCTGTCCAACAGATTCTTTAAAATAGAGTAGTTCTTCTGTAATATGTCTGTTGGCCAACCTCTGTGCCACCATTTGTTTGTAGAGGCTCTTCATCTGTTCAGGAATCCGCTCCAGGAGACCCACGTACCTCTGCCTGCAGTAAAATGAGTAAAAAAGGGTATTTACCTGAGAGTGCAGATCTCTTTCGCCATCTGAAGACCCTTTCCTTTCACTGCACAGGAAGCTATCTAGAAGGTAATCTTTTGAGTGTTTGGACTGGGGATTTTAAACATTCTGGAACAATTTAATTGCTACAAATAGTGGTAATGTGAGCATGGGAACCCTGGCCATGAGGGAAGTAACAGCTATTCTACATGTGAAAGCTTCCGTTGAAATGTCACACCAATAAGGTGTCCACACTATGAACTCCACTGACTTCAAGCTCCAGGTTACCTAACAGAGGCTCGTTAGCTGCAGCTGTTAACTAGGTGGGGAAATCCTATATCAATCCTGGCATCCGAGGCCATGCCAGTTACATCGCAACGGGCTAACTTTGCTGGGCAAGGACATTAGGATCAATCTGCAATGACTGATGCCACTCCTGAGAGGACACTGCCATGAAACGAGAGGGGGACAAAGGGTTGGCTGATGATGACCTGAGCTTCGAAAGCAGCTGTCCTCTCTCCACGCAGTCCACGCTGACCTGCCGAATCAGCTCATGGAAAATGATGTTGTAGATGTTCTGCTCTGCCTTCATCAGCTCCAGCGCTTTGTGCAGCTGGCAAAACAGGCAAGAAAAATCACAGCCTTGCAGAGCCTGGCCAGCCTACTCCTTTAACAAGAGATTAGCACTGATCTTTCATTCCTTCTGAAGCAGGTTTCCCTTTGAGGACGAAACACTACTAAAGCTAGAAAGGGGGAGAGAAACAGCCATCCTGCATGCATTCACAGGTTCATTTTCAAACATGTTATGCACTACCCTGACTACGCTCCCGTCAACGTCCATGAGAACTTCTGTGCTAATTCCAGCTGGGGTTCCTGCTAAGACAACGGTCTGTATTTTTCTAAATTCCTTTCCCTTCCCCATGCAAGAATAACAGAAAATAAGGCAAAACAAGGTACAGATGTTCTTTGACATCTGCTTTTTAGGTGTAAGAAGGTTTTCAATGGCCCATTTTGTAACACAGCAGCCTATCTCCCAGCGAAGAGATGAGACGGCTACTGCCTTCATTCCTCCATAGTAATAAAGCCAAATGCATTCCTTTCTGGAATTTTTGCCAGAAATGTAACTTCACACACCAGCAAGCTAAATGTTTGGTTTATGTGGATCAGACAAAGATGAAGAGAACCTCAGGAGAGAAAACCCTTGGTTATTACAGGACCTACAGACAGCTGGCTGGGTCAGAAACTAGCTTCCAGCAGGTACCTTAAACACAATAGGGAAAACAAGATGTTCTTTTTTGTGGGTACAAGAAAGTTATCTGGATAGAACTGAGTTATCCACCTGTGAAGGTCTTGTTACTCTGATTAGCTTGTCTACTCCTGCCTTTTCCAACATGCTGTCCATCACTTCCATCAGCTGGATGACCTCTAGCCTCCCAGAAGGTTTTCTGAAAGACCAGAGAGAGACACACCATTATTCAGCATAGCATATTATGGTATTTTCCCAGGAAATGAGATTCAAACAGATGTTTTTTTCCAACAACAACTTCATGTGGGGTGGTACATACATGGATGGGAACAGCCGTAGTTTCTTTTCACGGTCTTCAAGAAGTGTTGTGTATTTACTGAAACAAACACAAATGTTAGAACATGATTACAAAGCAATCCTTCCAGTGCTAGCTAAGGCATCCTGCCCTCTCCTTCAGTCTCCTTGTCCCACACACAAGCTGATGAAGGTTGGTGAGGCAGAGAAGGGTCTACAGAGTTGCTCTTCAGTGGGAACAGCCAGAGCCTAACATGAGAACTGGACCTCCTGCAGCTGTTCCCCCAACTGGAGCTCCTTATTCTTGCCACTAACGACAGAAACCTTGTAGGAACCTTCTCCCTTTAAGACTTCTCATGGTACTTGGTCAAGAAGTGGCCAATGGGTTTAAAAGTTACTGGTAGGGCCAGAAAAGCACCACATATCCACATCACACACAGCCAGGGGCTGATCACAGGAGACCATCAAAATAGTAAGATAATGTCCTGTTCCATTATTATCTTGGTTTGAGCCCAGAGGGCAACTGAACACCACGCAGCAGTTCACACGTACCAAGGAAAAGGCTTGGGAATTGAGATAAGGACAGGGAGGGGCTCACCTATTACAGTTGTGGGCAAAATACAGACTTGTTAGGGGAAGAAAAAGAACATCACTTGAATTCAAAACACTAACAAAGACAACACTTAACAGACAAGGTGGGACAGTGAGAAGCACCACCACATCCAAAACCAGCTCCCCCCACCCCTCCTTTCTTCCTGGGCTCAGCTCTGCTCCCCATCTCTCAACCTCCTCTCTCAGCAGTGCAGGGCGCAGGGGACGGGGGTTACAGTCAGCTCGCTGCTCCTTCCTTCTCAGAAGGTGGGGTGAATGCTGCACATTCCTCTCCTGCTCCACATGGCTCCCCTCTCACTGCAGCCAGTCCTTCATGAACCTTCTCTGGTGTGAGTCCTTCCCACGGGATGCAGCCGCTCCCGTGCTGCTGTGGTGTGGGTCACCCCCTGCGTGTTGCAGTGCTCCCAGCGCCGAACTACAACAGTGGGGGCTGCTTCTCCTCTCAGAGTCCTGCCCTACTTTAAGTGCAGATGCCTGTCATGGTGTGAGGTCCTCTACAGGTTTCAGATTGGCCTCTACTCCACTGGTGACCTCCATGGGTGGCAGGGGTGTGGCCCTGCCATCTCAGCATGGGATACAGGGGGTCTCAGCTCCAGCACACCTCCCCCACTTTCCTCCTCCTTCCTCCCACTGACCTGGGTGTTCGTCTTTCTCATAATTCCTCCTCACAGGTCCCAACCACCTCTGAGGTTCCCCTTAAATATGTTCTCACAGAGGTGCAGCCACCATCACTGACTGCTCAGCCCTGGCCAGAGGTGGGTCCAACTTGGAGCCGAGGGAGCTTTCCAGAAGCTTCTCACAGGGGCCACTGCTGTAGCCTCCTCCCCTGCTACCAAAAACCCTTCTGCACACACAAACCCAGCACAATCACGTTGGCTAAGAAGCTGTGAGGATTTTACTCCTAATTTTAGTATTTGAATCATTGAACAATGAGAAGGAACCACCTTTAAGTTTATTAATTTGTCTGGATACATCAAGGGGAATCTCAGTAGCCTTTTTTAGGCAAGGCTTAGTAAACTCAATTCAGAACTCACAGCCTGAAATACTGAGGGGGGTAAAAAAAGAAAAAAAAAAAATCACAAAACCCCCACCAAAAACAAACAAACCCCCCACCAAAACCCCAGAGTAGTCAGATTCAAGATGCTAACAGGTCTATACAAGCATAAAGTGAGAGTAAGAGCTACCCAGAACCTGCCCAGCTTTGTGGCAGAAATAAATTTTAAAAGAAAAATGGAAAACCTAATCAAAATTTTTTTTAAAAAAAAAAAAAGCAAAAACTCCAAAAGTTGTCTCAAGGGCTCAAACCAGACTTCAGCTTCTACAATCATGTCCAACTACCAAAACCCCGCTGAGAAGCAGTACTCGTGTACAGGTAATTCTCTGTTAGCCACCTCAGCACAGCAGGGACAAAGAAAAACCTTGCTCTGCAGGGTTAACTACAGCCTGGTCATTAGCACGGGACTCCCACAACCTCCCCTTTATATTCTCCCCTTCCCAAAGGCAAGAGGTGTATTTGGGCAGTGTCCTCAGCCTCTCCTCACTTTATCCCCCCACTTTGAACAGCTGAGGACAAACCCTTGTAAACCAGAAATCACTCACTCATCAAAGTACTTCAAGGGCAAAACTCCCCGGTTCTTCAAGATGTGAAATTCCTTAGGAACCAGACTATCTGCTAGGCTTGCTCGCTGGGGATGGAAAAAGAGAGATCATGGAACATCATCATAAAAGATGTGCACAATCTCCTGGTTTATTCCCAAAGAGGACACAGGTTTGGCAGCTGGGAGAGGGAAGCTCACATAGTGGCTTTTCACGCTGCTTTTCCCTTTCCCGCTCCGCACATCCAGCACCCGATAGAAAATATGTCTGAAAGCAAATTGAAACAGCTAACACCGAACTGGGGTGGGGGATCTGGAACTGCAAGGAGAGCTGATGAGTTTTAGGATGAGGGTAACACTGGGACATGGGTATGAGGGTCCCCCTTCTCCCCGCTAGTGATAGGAAAACACCTGAACAGCAGCACTCACGGGGGTACGTAGGGCTGTACAACAGCTCTCTCTCTGGTCCTGATGATCCTCGGAAAAAGAACTTCCACCAGTCATTGCTTTTTTAGCTTCTTGGCCAGTCGCAATGTCACACAGGTAAGAGACATCCCTGAAATAGAGGGGAAGAACTTGTTTACCGACCCACCCTGCAGGCAGCCTACTGTTCCCTTACTGCTGGCCTAAACCACGCGTGGGTTTGTTCTGCTCAGCCTGAGGCCAGGCTTACTGCCAGGACTCCCTCCCCTGGGCCAAAAATGACAAGTGAGATCATCTTTTTTAGGCAGATGAACCTCGCGCTGCCTGTTGCTGGCCAAAGACCATTTTTCATGTCAGCTGCCAATGCCCTATCGCATGCATATCCGACGTCCGATAAACAGCACAATATTTTTCACTTCCTAAAGCCATTAAGCATCACTTATTTACAAAGAAGTGTAAAGCTATTCCCTGCTAAGCCCGTTAAAGCCAGAAGAGCTTCTTTTCTTAATCATGGACCACAGAGCCTCCCCCTATGAGCCTGGCATCCTTTGGAAGGATGGTTCCAAGAATTGCTCACTCAGCAACTCTTTTATTTATTATTCCTAAAACATCTTTCCCTTGAATCTCTCCAGCCTGAACTGGGATGGGACAGCTAGTCCATTCATCCAGCCACATCAGGCAGCACAGCCACCTACCATAGGAATAGACTAAGGGAGAGATCTAGCTCCATGCCTCTCCAGAGTTCCCAGCTCTAATGTCTTTCCATCGCCCTGGGCTCCTTAACTCCTCTCTGCTTACCTTCCAGCGCCTGTCAGACTGACAGGGTGGTCGGTCAGGTGTCTGAACTTGCTCCGACGATTAGGATAATGCCAAAGCCGATCAGGGGTTTGCAGGCAGCCCTGCAGACAAGGCACACGTGGCTGTCACTTAGCGAGAAACATGCCAAGGAACAGGAGAGGTCGGGGTGGCTGTCTAAAGCTCTGTGCCATTATTTCTGTCTTGGGGCTAAAGAAATCAATGTGGACAAGACAGCCTCTGTGCAAGGGCTTCACAGCAGCACCAGGGTGCAAGCAGGTTTTGCAAGGACTGGAAGGCAGCACTTTGGATCTGCATCAAACGGTGTGGTCAGAAAAATGATGTGATACAAGATAAATTTATCTTATGAGGTCGGCAAACTATCCTTTTGCTACCCAGGGGGTGAGCACACCCCCTCCGGTGAAGAGACAATTCTGGACAGAAGAAGGCAGAAGATGGAAATAACACTCACCCTGAAGCCCACTGGGGTTTTGGTGGTTTGTGGGGATTGTAAGTGCTCCGGGCTGCAGAGGGAATTACTGGCACAGGTCAGGCTTCGGAAAACCTCTTCTGGAACAAAACTGTGCTCCAGGGAGGAAGAAACAGGCCTGATGTGGTCAAGCAACCTTGAGGTACCCCTCAGCTTGGGGATCTCTGGAAAATAGCATGTCAGAACCATTTCAACAGCATTTATTCTGCTGCTGAAAGAGAAAGCAAAGCCAGTGATAGAACAGAGAGCTGAGAAAAACCATGACAAGATGTTTACTCCCTTATCCCAAAGCAGGACCTAAAACACAGGCAGCTAATCCCATTTTTAGCAGTTTTTAGACCTTTGGTGAAGCCTAGAACATCAGCTACCTTCTACCTATGGGAGATAAAGCACCGCTCACACGACCGTGTGCCAAACTATCTGGCACACAGACACCAAGGGATGCAGCAAACAACTAAAATTTGCTTGTGGCTGAAAGCCATTTCCCTTTTTGTGGATTGCGAGCAGTCAGCTTTCAGCAAAGATACGAATGCCCTAAAATACCAGCAGTTGCCTAAAAACCAGGCAAAACTTCAGGCAGGGAAGCATCATGCTGTTAAAGTGGGGCTGGAAGGACAGAGAGCCGGCAGTATGACCCCCCCCAGCCCCCAGCCCAGCCCTACCTGTCCCGTCCTCGGCGACCGAGCCTCCCTGCCAGGCACCCCTCGCTCTCCTTCCGTCGGCTTTTGGTCCAGGAACTGGCGCTCCAGTCGTGGGCATGGTGAATTAATGCTTAGCCAAGGAAATTTGCAGTAACAAAAGATCTAGAAACAGAATTAAACTCGCATTTGTACTCCACAGGGTTAATAGCTTATTTTGTTATTGTTTATTGTGGGGAAAAAAACCCCTTAGGCCTGATACTAGGTGCATCAGGAAGAAGCCCCCAATGCTTTGCTACATCTTCCATAGGGGTGCTTGTTTTTCCATCTACAAACTGCATTAAGAACAACTGCTTCTTTCATACATTTAATTGGGCCAGAGATTTAATTATATTTGCCTCCAATTAATCATCTTACAACTTTTCTTCTTAGCAATATCTTATTATTGAAAAAAGAAAAAAAAATCATATTTGCACTAGTTTTATGATCTCCATGAATTCTCATCTGAAGGCTTTCCCCCCTGCCCCCAGCCTTGCCAATATATATTCTTTATAAAGTCCTCTTGGTATTAAAACTTCTTGGCCTCCCTATGAGCTGTATCCTTGTGTACAGCAGCTTCTAATTAGGTTAACTACATTTCTTTGCATTCAGATACATGTTCGTGGGTGTAGGCATAATCTAGGAGTCATCTTGCCAGGTAGTTTCTTGTCTTGCTGCACAAATAGTTTCTTGGAAAGAAAATACAAAAATTTGCTACAAACTTCTGACAGAAGAAAACTTCCCCCCTTTCCTTAAACAGCTCTGTTTGGCAGTACATGATATTCCTGCCAGAAAGGATGGGAAGATTAATGGCACTGTTCTGCAGCAGCTACAAGCTTAAGGACACAGACAAGACTCAGCTTTAGAGCACGTGGTACACAGCTGGAAAATATCACATTAAGTGCTTGGCACACAAACCCTTTTCAGGCCCAAAATGAAGGCAGAAATCACCAACATGATACACATTTGGCAGTTGCTCAAATTTAATATGCATTAAATCGGGAGAGGATAGAAACTCCGGTCTGTTCCAAGAGCTATCAACTCCTTCCCCGTGCTCCTCTCCAGCACGCCCAAGGACGTCCTCTCCCCTCTCGCAGAGATGTGATGGCTGATATGCAGCTTCTAAAACCCCCAACTACCCTTCTCAGCCGCTATTTAGCTCTGACCTTTCCTGCTGCTTTTTACCACCTAAAGAAAGCCTTGTCTAGAAGTTCCTTGCTATGAACCCACCCACGGAGATGTTCTCCCTGCCCTGCAGCCCTCTTGCCCGGCACCTCCAGGCACGACTGTCCCCCATCCCTTTCTCCTCCTGGCCCTTGGAAGGAGGGAGACAGCTGTGCCAGGGGCTCCGCAGCCTCAGCCCACCCCACACCCCCTGCCCCCAAACTAGCCCAGCTCCCCCCCTTCCTATACAGGGAGCAGCAGAGGGGCTCCCCAGTACCTGCCAGGTATCTCCACCTTGGCTCCATCACCATGGAAACACAGGGCTCTTCCCCACCCCCCCCCCTTCTGGAATACATCCTCCCTCCCTCCCCACAAGGCTCTGACCCACATCACCTCCCCCCAGCAGCCACCTCCTCACAACCTTACACCACCCCAACCCCCCAGCAGGAGCCTCCAAGAAACAAGCCAAGGCGATTTTTTTTTTTTTTTTTTTTTTTTGTTTCCTCCCCTAATAGCAAAATATATTTCAACTGCTGTAATACAGTAGATTATAAACAGCTCTTCTGTGTGACAGGACACGGTACAGGTCGCGCAGAGGGAACGGGGGGGGGGGGTGCCGGGGCCTGGGCACGCAGCAGGGCACGGGGGCTGCTTGTGGCCCTCTCCCCTGCCACCGCGGGGGCTTTGGCTTCACCCCAGCTGTGAGCCCAGGGAGGAGAGAGGAGAGGGAAGGGGGCTGGCTCGGAGGTACTGCAGGGAGCCGGCTCGCAACCCTGCTCAGGCCGTGCCGCGTCCTTCCAGCCCGGCCCCAGTCAGAGAGCGGGAGCTCACACAGTTCAGTTTTCCTTTAGTGGGCGGGCCGACGCACGTAATCCATGCCTTTTCTTATTAAAAAAATACATCAGGATTTCCCCCCCCACCCACCACCACAGAGGTCTTATTCAGAGGGGCGCCATGGGATAGCATACAAGCAGCAGCTCAGATGCAGGGCTGCTTCACCTCTGGAGGCTGGAAGGTAAATACCCCTACGGAAAGGACGTACTAGGCATGAAGGCTCTGCACAGGTTCAGTCTTCCTGAGAACAAACTGTCATCTGCGTGAAAGCCGGGACACGCGTCACCTTATTAATACTGATTTTTGTGATGTTCTTGAGCAAGAAGCTGCAGCTGTACTGGCTGCCGTTCCAAAGCTGGCAGCTTCCCACCTCAAAACCGAGGGAGTTACCATGGAAGCAAGCTGCACGCACAGCTCTTGTGTTGGAAAGAACCACAGAAAACAGTATGTATTATTATTAAGAACTTGCAAAGGGCAGGTTGTGAACCTTACCATCATCATTACTGACCAGCACACCATACTGCTGGCTCTGGCACTCTGAGCCTAGGGAAACTCAAACAAACATGGTATAATTGACTCTAATTAAACAAGCAGTGTGCAGAAGACTTAGTATTTCCCCTTCAGCACTCTTGAGAAAAATTAAAATAAGACCACATTCAAAAGCAATTTTAAAAACCCATGAAATTGAAAGTAATCCCAACAGTTAATGCCCTGACAGCACAGTTGCCAGATGCCTTGATCAAAGAGGCTAAAAACCTCAACCTGTGAAAAATTAAAGGCTAGTTCCAACAGCTGGTCCCCTTTCTGGTCCCTTTTTGCTTGCCAAATGCTCAAGCCCTCAGGCTTCAAACAGTGAGGATGCCAACACCGTAAATGCTGATATTCTCTACTAGGAATAGGACAGTGCCAGATGTGAGGGAAACACCAAAACTTGGCACAAAGTGCCATGATTTGATCTGCTTTTGAGAACAGAGACAGTAGCAAGACCCGAGACAGACATCAAGAAGACAAATCAAGTCCCTAATCCATCACACCCTACTTGAGTGCAGTTACATCTGTACAAAAGCCTTTTGAGCACCACAACTAGAAAGTACTGGACTAAATTTCATCCTATACTAAGGAGGTGACAAAGTAGTTTGGCCAAAGAGTGGGGCTTTTTGTTTGATTTTTTTCAAAAAGGAATCTTAGTTGCTCCAACACTTCTGTCCCTTCCTCCCACAAGAAGTACAGTGAAAGATACAGGATTAATCAAACTGAGTGAGGATAAAGTAATCCATTTAATTCTGAGGGTTTTATATACTAATACTGCCAAGTTTGAGTATATACATGAATCCCCTTCCTCTGAAATTAACCCACCTGTTTCAACCAAGTTATTGTAGGAGATATTTCCAGAGGAGAGCCACACACGCCAACACTGTATTTGGCAAATTTGACCTGACACAATGTCCTTTCTGAAGAGCGGGATTCCTTCTTTCAGAAAACTGAAAACCGGGAAGAGTTTAAGTATTGCCTAGCTTTCACAAAATTACTTTTGTCTCAGGGTAGTAAAAACAGAAGCCCAAAAGATAGTCTGTAGTGGACTGGGAGACTAGTCCCTCAATAGTCCCAATACTGCTGGTGTCAAATACCTAGGCTGTAGGTGAGTAAGGAAAAGCTGTCACTAAAAAGTGCCAGCAAAGAACATCTGAGTAATTTAGAAATCCCTGTGACCAAAGTTAGGGTACTTCCACTAGGTCACCCTCCCTCTCCGATAATAGGAGCTGCAGTTCCTGTCAAACCGGAGATACACATTCCCAGACACTATCTAAGTTCCCTTTTGTGCTTAGCATCTGACAGAACAAGGAAACTGAAGGGGACTTTGCCCAATTAATAGATATTGAACCACCAAATCCACATAATGCTTCTCTCTTTAGCCGTGTGTAGGAGAGGATGTCCTACCTCTTCAGAAAGAAGAGGGCAATACCTAGGAAACTCATCTCCACCTGAAGCCCCCACTGCCCTAAGAGCAGACACGGGCAGGTGAAAAAAGCAGCTCTGACTCCAGGAACTGGCTCACCCCACATTTCCCACCAACTGTGTCAGGAGCTGCTACAACACGTTGGCGAGAGGCACCAGGACGTGCCGGCACATTGACCTGGACGTGGCCATTTCAGATGGGAACACGCTATGTACCTGCAAAGTCGATTGTATTTTCTTACAGTTGGGTCGTAGCATTTCAAATCTTTTTCACTAAAGAAAGCCTTAATAACTTGTATACCTTAAAGCACCTGCCAAATTAAAGCAAAAGCTCTTTTACAGTTAATTGGGTTAAAAGAAGTGATTATCTGGAGCAAGAGAAAGAAAGTGCTAGAAGAAAAACTATTCCTCACAAAGGTCTTCAGAGAACAAAAATGCTGTCAGTTAGAAACTTAATGAATACAAAGAAAACATAAATTTTCAGTGTAAAAAGTCATACAAAGGCTGCACACACTGTGCCCTGCTTCTGAACCTGATTCTCCAGTGCAGCCACAAGTAAGTTGTCAATCCCCTCTTCCTCTGCCCATTTTAAATCTGTAGGCAGCCAACATGCATAGAAAACAGTTCAAAGCCATCCAGGAATACTTTGGCTATTTTCAGAGCAAGGAGGCAAATATTCTGTTGCTCTGCCACTTGTCTGCATCATAGCAGCAGACAGGATCACAAAGAATAGAAGTTTTGTAGACATCCCAATACCAAAAGGGAGAAAAAAAAATGCAAAAAGTAGTTGGCTAAGGAAGATGGACGGATGCCAACAATGAGCTACTAGCAAAAATCTGACTAGACTATTGTCCAGAAGAGCAGCAACATGGGGGGACCCCTGGATGAGTAGGATTCCAGTAGACTCCACCTTCAGCTCAATGTTTTACTGGCATGGAAATGGCTCAAAGTAGGACAGCATGTAGTGGATGCTGCCTGTGAAGCCTGTTGCAATCCAGGTCAACTGGTTTGCCCCAGTAATGTTTAAAAAAATTACAGTTTCTCCCCAATAATCAGGAGGCACAACTTTCCTTGGAAAAAGTCCATAGCGAGTTAGGTCATTGGTCCAAATACTTGGAGGACAACTCTGATTTTCTGTGATGACACGGCCAGAATATACCATTTTTACATCTTCGTATGACATGACCATGAGCGTGGTTTTAAGTACTCCAGGAACGTGGGCTGCAAAACATGGAGAGGCAGTAAGTTAGTCACAGGCAAACAGCACCAGCTGTGGCTGAAGTCAAACTTCCCTAACAGGAAAGATCAAACAGCATTTTCACATCCTGCAACCCTATTTTTATCCTGACCAAACAGTGTAGGGAAGTGCAGCGACAGCCACAAGCTGTCTGCCTGACACCCAGTTCTGATACAATAGGTAAATGCTGTGTCTAGTAGCACCTTGTATCAAGAAACCAGTCATTTACGATGACAAACTCTTAATTGAAGAGAACCAAACTTTAAAATAGTTTGACTAAGGGTACCTTTGGTTAAAACCAAAATCAACTAGGATAACAACGAGTTTTAAGTAGAACAGAATTTGGTACCAAGAAAATCAGCTCTAAGTCAGAGAAACCAACGCCAACAAAACCCAACTGACCATTCATAGGCAACCAATTCTCCCTGCCACCCACTCTAGCCTGGGAGAGGCACAATAGGCTCAGTTTTTGTGGGCCTCCTAGAGAAGTTTCTCCTGACCTCACTAGCCAAGTGCTGCAGTTCCATTCACACAGCCTGAATGGCCTAGCATACTCTCAAGTAGTGGCTTATGTCCTCAGAAATGTGTGAAAAGACACCCTCAGTTTCAAGTAGTGAAATTCTATCAGCATAGAAAGAACACTACTGAAAGCACTTTTGTTAGAAAAAGCTTTCCTAGATTCTCTACAGTTTCTAGACTAAATAACTCCTAATGAACCGATACAGCACACTGCCAGAAAGGCTTGTGTCACTTAACTTCTGCCCTGTCCCCACAGCAAGAAAGGACTCGCATGGCGAGTTATCCCCCAGAAAAGGTCAGCCACTCACATTTTCCATAGGGCAGTACTGGCGGGCATACCACTCCTGGCTGTAGAGGCAAATGATGACACCTTGGCCCAGGAAGAGGGACGTCCACATGATCACGTTCCAGATGGGCCCTTTCCGACGGTCATTAAGGATGAAGTTGAAGACCACTGGAAAGAGATGAAACAAGAAGCGTTGTTCAGAAACAAACTCAGGATTAAAGAATCAAAGACCAACTGGTTTCACTGGGTCTTTCCCTCCCTTCACTTCATCTCTAGAGCAACAAGGCTGCTCCGTGAGGTCAGTATAGTGCCAGAAATTCTGATTATGCTTTAAAGACGAAGACTTCCACCCTGCTGATACGCAGCAATTCAGCTAAGGCTTGGCAAAGAGGAAGCAGTGCTATTAAAATATGTACAGCATCACATGAACAGTGGTCTGTCTGTCTCTTCCTCTCCATCCATACCTTGCTCCTCTAAGTCCAAACCTTGCAAACCCGCTGTGTGTGTACATACATCTACTGAGCTACTTGGCTGCAAAAATCCATTCACGAAGTTTGGACCCACAACTGCAACTCTTGGACAAGAAACAGTTCTGTGTGTTAGTGCCTAAAGGATAACTGGCATCAGAACAGCAAAGCAGGCTTGCCTAAAATAAATCCAAAAAAGCCACAAAACCCACAACCCACTTGCACACTCTCCCCTGGGAACTTACTTCCAAAGCACATAAACAGGCAAAAGAGGACTGGATAGAAGTAGCCAAAGCAGATGCTCAGAACGTATTCGTGCACAGCAGCTGATACTGTGAAGACAGATAGCATAGCTGCTGCTTTGAACTTCTTACCAAAAAACTGGAAGAGAGAAGAATACCAAGTATTATAAGCTACTCCATGTTTTTGGTTTGGCTGTTTCAACACTGGGGTTTTTTTTTGTTTGGTTTGTTTTTTTACCCAAGCTAAGAAGTGCCTGCTCCAGCCAAGAAACATATACAAAATGCAAAGTGCTTTACATAGTACCTTGGATTTTAGGTGTTTTTCTTCAGGCATATTTCTGATCTCCTGCATAAATGCTCAGGTTGACCCCACTCATGAAATATCTACCACAACTCATTAAAATAGCACAACAGGAGTTCAAGACTGTTGAGTCAATCCTTGCACTCCTACTCCTCAGACTCACATTTCTGTGTGCAGTAAGGACTTGGAAATGAACAACGGGTTTCTAAAAAGCACAGTGGCTACACCCACAGCAGCTGAGGCAAGACATTTCTGTGCTTCTCAGTGGACAGTGACATCTTGACAAACGTACTGTCTTGATAAGTGGTTAAATGTTTAATTAACAAAAAGAATACATCTACTTGATACTCACCCAAAGGAAGTCCCTGTAGGCATAGTAATAGAGCCAGTCATGTACTACCACATTCCATGTTCGGTAGTAGTTTGCATAGGAAGTGGAGTTCCACCAATCCTGAAAGCACAGTTAAAACAGTGTAAGTCTTATTAAGCATAAACCATTTTACAGGTCTCTTGGGTATTAAGTAGAAAAATATTGATCATGATCATACCAAGCTCATATAACAAGTTATACCACGAAATAATGCATTCTGTTGCACTTTCAACACTCTATTTTGTATATCAAAGTTTGGTTTTATCCCAAACTGCAGTGGATGATAAAAGAATAAAACTAGTGCTTAACAGAGCTATTGGGTAAGTCTGGTGCCTGGTTCTGCTCATGTGCAGGGCATACTACCTTAAAAATAATTCAGACTGTCAAGTAGAAATCAGATCTATTCTGCAGCACAGCAACAAACTTAAGCTTTAACAGCATAAAACAAGCAAAACCCTGCGGATGCTTCATTTGGTAAAACAATAATCTTCAGTTTCCTCCTCTTTCCTTTTCATTAGGAAAATGAATTCTAGAAGCTTTATAAAGCTTGCTTTATAAATTATAACTCCTGCTTCTTACCTTGTAGAACATCCTATCTGCAAAGCGCAGCATCTCAGCAAATGCATTAAGCCAACAGTGAAGGAACGCAAAGAAAACCAGGAAGAGAATCAGTACACCTAGAAACAAGGTAGAGTCAGACCAATTCTGTAATGTTTTCTCTCAGCTATAAGCAGCAACATGTAATAGTCAAGATTGTTCTTATAGACACTGACATATGAGTTTTGTGCTACCTATATGAAAGAGTAAAAGCATTTCAGTTTCTCACCACACCAGGTGATGCTTACCCCAGAGAGCAACAGCAAGGCTGCCAAAGAGCCTAGAGCTTGGCTCAGAAGACAGTTAAATTCAATCCCAGCTTTTATTTCGTGCTGTTGATTCTAAAGTTTAACACTGTAATGCTGAAGTCTGCCCACAAGACCTCCTTTGCTGATCTTTGCCTGTCCAGAAAGCATCTCATTCGAAGGACTTCCCCTCCCTTCCGCCTCTTCCATAAAGATACAGTCACTCAGAAATCCGGGTCTTACCTGGCAGAATGGAGTTGAAGATGCAGAGGACCAGCCCTCGAAGATTGAAGGTTTCTTGACTACTGTTGCGAAACTGAGGAATGCAGAGTCTCACAAAGATGTAGTAGGCATAGAAAAGTGAACCAAGCACCTGGAAAAACAATTTAAAAAAAAAATGTCTGACTCCATATAGAAAAATGCACAATTAACACATCACCACTTGACAGCTCTAGGAAAGGAACAGCAGCTGCCAACACCAATCAACATAATTTATTTCACATTGCTGCTAATAAACTTCCCTACGGGTCCAGGCAGAAAGCAAGCCACAGCCATCTCTCTAGCATGTTGACAGTCGGGAGCAAAATCACCTTCTCTTTTTTATTACAGCAGCTCTCAGTTTCTCCTATTTCTATCGACCCAGAAATAATGACACAAAAGATTTATGCTAATGCCAAAGTAAGTGGAGAAAGTACTCTGTGATCTAGGTCCCAGACAAGGGCAGAAATAATTGAAAAATATTTATTGTAGTTAAACCTAATATTAAAGCTTAGTTTTCTTTTATTCCAAAGGAGATGTTTGCAGGTCAAATCATCTCAGCCCTTCTCTGGCTCATGAACCTATGTTCTGGAAGTTGAGGTCAAAATGTAAGCCACAGCTTTAAATACTCTGACTGCTGTAAGCCAGGTGTGCGCTTTGTCACCCTCTTTTGTCAAACAGCAAGCAGCCAAAGGCCTTTTCACGCTTTGTTTTTTCCATTTTTTTATCGTTTTGCTTTTTAAAACATGAATGCATTGCGTGACAGTGAAAGTTTCAATCACACAAAGCCATTACTTGGCAACATATCCACAAGAAGCTATTAAAGCTCACGTCCAGAAATGTGACCATCAGGTCAATCTGAAGCTCAAATAAACACTGAAGATTTGGACTCTAGGCCTTATTATTTAGAAATTGTTCCAAATATCTGCAGACAGGTAGCTGTGCCAGTGCATGACAACATCAGCGTAAAGAAAGAGGGTCAGAACATGGATATTGCACTCCCCACCATATGCAGCTTTTGTTTGTATGGAATAAAATCTAAAGGCTTGTTTAAGCAAGGATTTTTTTTTTCGTTGACACCACCGTATGTGCAGCAAGATCACTGTTTCTTTTTTTAGTCACTAAAATATTCTTTTCTGTTAAGCCCACACCAAGTAAACTGTGATTTAACGCCAAAGGGAGAACTGTTCAGCAACACAGTTTCGATGATCTCTGAAAGTGCATTCTTCAGAAATCTGCGCTACTCACCTGTGCAAATTTGGTAGCTACATAGCCCCATCTTATCGTGGGATTCCTAGGAAAAAGAACACATGGTATCATAACTAAATAGGACCTCAAAGCAGCAAAAACCGCCCTTCAGTTATTGACTTCACTGACCCATACTCTGATAAAAGAAAATGGTTTTTGAATTCCAGAGATCTTAAACTCCTGACATCCAAGAGATGTCTGCCTAAATTGCTGGTTCCTCACTTTCAACTACAGCAGGACAACTGCGGCAATTCCATAAATGGAAAAGTATCTGGAGGGCAGCATTACGCAGTTACGCAGGCAGTGGCGATCTGCCTGACAGTCATGCAAAGGACTGCTGATTTGACACTGTCAAAGTGCAACCCAGCAATGTACAGAGAAGTTTGAGAGTTCCCAGTTTTAAAGGCTTCAGCCTACCTCCTCAAACTTAAGAGACAGGGCTGCTTACTATCACCACATGAAAAAACATACAAGCCTTCTGCATGAACTGTGTTATCACTAGATATTCAGTAGCAAGTTCTTAATTTGTCTCACTTCAAGTGCACTTCCCAAAGAAATAAAATCAGAACTGTAAAGTCAAAATACTACTAGTGTTAGAGTGAGTTTTCATGACCAAGTCCTGCCCTTGCCAGGCTGCTGACTTAACCATGTCTTTATGAAAGCTCTAACTCAAATTGCACAGATTACACCCAGGGATGCTTAATGTTGGCTTCAGTTTTTAGACTACTTTGATGTCCTATTGGTGTTGCTCTGTTGCTCACATTACCTGGGATAGTTGTCTCTGTAGATGAGGGTGGGAGCAAAGAGGAAGTAGAGGTACTGAGAAATTCTGGGAATAGGTACTGTGTCTGGAAGAGGGGAGAAAAATAAAAATAAACAATCACACGAACACTGCAATCTTTTTGCTCACTGACAGTTTGGTTCCCCCAGTACCCTTTCACAACACAGAACCCTTATGACCTTAAAAACCCCTCAGTCTGGAACTAAAGGTATGGGATTTGCAGTGAATAAAACAAACGAGACCTGTCAGATGGAGTCACCCTGTCATGAAGCATAAGTAACAAGTGAGGGTGACTAACAGGTAGCGCAGTGATTACGCCCTGATACCACATTTCTTTTCCTCCTAGAGAAGATGCTGTAAGGCCTGTATCAACAGGTGGGTTCATGCTCAGCTCTGGCATGCCTTGCTGAAAGAGCTTCTGTCCTTCTACAATTGCTGTCACTTCAACTAGACCACTGAACCTGGGCTGTGCAGGCAGCCTCTACACAACTTTTTGTCCTAAAAGCAGAAACGAGAAGTCCTGTTGAAGCAAGACTTCAGGCACAGAGACAACTTAAACCTGAACAATAGTCCAGCTCATTGCCTACTACCACATGAAAAGGTTCAGGCTGAAATGACGATGCTGAAGGTCCAAAGTCACCTACTCAAATCCTACCTCTCCAATGCATGAAGGCAGCTCAAATCAATAGAGGGAACACAAGAACTGGTTATTCACTGCTGGCAAAAAACGTAGGGCAAGTTACTCACTGGACTTGTCCTTTACAGAGGACAGGACTCTGGGCACATTCTCCCGGACAAATGAATGAGCCTTCATAACAAGGCGAACCTGTAAGACCAAGAGAATATCAGCTTAATACTCTCACTTTCCCAACTTCCCAATAAAGACTGGATCAAGCATTTTAAGGCAACTCCTTCAACATCTTGGTTTCTCTCCAGTTTACCCCTTTTATGAAGAAAAGGCTGCTTCTGCTGCCCACAGACCTGTTTGACATGAATTTAAAACACTGCAAGGTGAAACGTGCAGTAACAACCATAGCTCAGAAGAGTCAAAACACATCTCATCTACACTCACAGGACCATGGCATACAGAAGGACTCCAAAGCACACCAGTAAGTCACTACCCAATTAACTTAAAATTGAAGCAAAAAACCCCACCCTATCCATTTCAGTAGGCCAGTATGTCTCAAGGTCTTGAAATCAATTCCTTTAAGTTAGATGTGCTCTACAGCAGTTACCACTACATTGGAATAAGATGGTGCCCCACAAACAGTCCATGGCTGCTGAGCAGGGGGTTTTGTTTAACACTGAAGGACCAAAAGAAGGGCTAGTTCAAAGTTAATTCTTTAAGCCTACACTCTCATCTCTGACCATCCTTGTTTTTACCTGATGGCCTGACCAGACCTCCATACTCCTGCACTCTTCCCCTACTTCCCCTGAGAAAGAAAATTCCACTTTCAATGAAGTCCTGACTGTAACACAAAGAGTTGCTTCTTGGGAACTGGAAGGGAAACAGGAACCACTTGTTGAATATATACGTGCCTTTTTTTTTGTTTGTTTGTTTAAGAGGAATGTTACAGCTTCCTTGTGAACTATGGCACAACAGGTTCTTAGAATTGGCTTTAAGCATTTAGCAACCACAAGACAACTAGAAATAAAGTCTCAGCCACGAAGTACATTCAGAAAAAAAACACACAGTAAAATTTTAAATACAGGGTAAAAAATCCCAAGTGGTTTCCAGGTCAAAATGAAGTTTACTATCTACTTTTTCACATTAGACTTGCTGCCTGTCTCTCCAAGTCAAAGACAAACTCCATCCACAGCCCTGACTTAATTTAATGAATGAAAGCAACACTTGACTCCTTAGGAAAAAGGACTCTTTCCATTTTGAAAAGAAGATTCAGTACCTACGAAGATACTGGGTAGGGACTTACCTGTTCCAGTATTACAATAAAACGGGAAGCTGGAGGCAGGGCATATGATACAGCAATATAGGTTGGTCCAAATCCAAGCCCAGCTGTTTGGAAGAGCGTGAACAACATCCCATAGAAAACAGAGCGGATTACACGATGGGAGGAACTGCAGTAGCCTTGGGCCCACCAGACGAAAAGGTTGTATGGAACAGAAACCGTGGCACAGAACATGCACAGCCAGGTACAGAAGACGACTGGGAACTTCCCAAAAACAAAGACCAAGAGATCAAATCCTAGGACCAGCCTAGAAGGCACAAGGAAAGAGACAATATTCAATGTCCATTATTTCATTAGAAATACTTCTACTCCACAAAGTGGCTACAAAATACAAAGCTTCCAGATCACAGCTGTTTGATGGTTTAGATAGAAATGACTGTGGCAATTTTCAGCTCAGAAACAGAGCGCTGTCTGTGGCAGATTTAAGTGACCACCCACAAGCACACTACAAATTAAGAGATGAAGAACTCATGCCATCAATGCTGTCAGGCAGAGCTCACCTTCAAATCCCACAGGGCTTAAGCACATCTTTAAAGCCAGCATGTGCTTTTAGAGTATGCTCAAGCTCATCCCTGCATTAACAAGCACATGACTAAATGATCCACTGTTGAAACAGGGTCCAAAAGAGCTTTTGGGGAACATTCCCAGGACATCATCACTATTATATTAAGAATCAGTTCCTCCCAGGAGTTTAACACCTAAAGAGACTTTTTCCCCACCTCTATAGGCCTGAGGTACTTTAACATTTAGCACTTAAACCTAGTTTAATTTTGCCTTGTGAAATCTGTAGGCATTCCATGTGGATTCCGTTTACAAGTCACCCAGAAGTCTTAGAGTCATTAGATGGTCCGTCCGAATATGCCCAAATGGTGTGCACCAGGTACATTAGTTCATTAATCAAGCTTAAAACATAAGGACATAACCAAAAGTTCAACCTTACTGGCTATTAAAGTCACCAGAGCTTACTCCTATGCACAAGCAGCTCTTCTGAACTAAGGTCAGAAGAAAAGGCAGTATAGATAACACCAAGGTAATTTATTTGTTCTCATGGGGAGGCTCAATTGCAAACTGGATCCAAATTATCAGAGATAGCTGAGAACACAGCAATTTTTTTTAAACTAATCAGAGAATCCAGTTGATTTGAGAGGTAAATACCTATTCTCCCCCAATGTCTATACACTGTTAAGTTAGGATCAGCTAAAAGATATTCAACAGTGCACAAGCCTGTTCTTATACCTAGACAACAGGGACAATGATTATAATCAAGATACAGGTCTATTTTTTTTACACTGAAGATCAGATAAGCAGCAAGATAAACATGTAATCCTACTTGTGTACACGGGATAGAACTTGCCAAAAAAATACTATTTAAAGCAGCAAGCAAGTGTGAGGAAAGCAGTCTTTCACAATCTTGCTCACAACCAGCTACCTGCAAAGCACAATCTTAACAAAGGCTGTGCCAATACCCTTGAGTTTTTTTCCCCAGGAAGAACAAAAAGTTCTATTTTTATTTAAGCACAAGTACAGTGTTCCAGAACTGTTGTTTTCAAACAGAGTAAGGACTGCTGAAGTATTTTAAGTTTTTTGAGGCACAGTCCTCCTTCCAGCAACACAAGCAGCTGAAAGCTACTGTTTCATTAAATATACAAAACTAAAGCAGACCCCTCTCTTTTGCCAGACTTATGATGAACTAAGCACATTAGGCTGAACTGCACTGGCCATAATTCTCACAGAATACACCAACCTGTAGGTCTTTTCCTAACATCTAGCTATCTGATTTGAAATGACCATAACCCCTCAGCAGGAATCCCAGCATATATTTTAATTACGTCACGTTGAAAACCCCCTTTCCAACAACAGCTCAAGGAAGGATTCCTTCTTCTTTTTGCACCATGCCACAGTTTCATGGAACTCTGGTGCTTTGGAAGTGAGCATTTCCCAGCCCTGGTCCCTTGTCTTTGCAAAGCATGCTTACCTTCCTTCATCAATGAAGTCTACTAAAAGTGTGCTGAGGATGAAGACAATGAGAAGAGCGATGAACATGTGGTAGATTGTCCTGATGTGACTCACTTCAAACAGCTCACTACGGGAGAGATTCAAATGCTATCAGACCATTTGCATAGCACATCACACCTCCAGTATGTCAGCTTTCCCAGTAAGGTAAGATGACATCACTGCCATCCCAATTCAAGAGACTGAAGTCTCAACAGAGAAGCTCAAACCCACGTACACTAATCTGTTTAAACATAGGACCGCGAGTGGTGGTGGGGAGAATACTTCAAAGCAAAGGCTAGTTAGTTTGCTATCAAGGGTATTTTCAGTCAATTTAATGGAAAATGTGAACTTAAGTTACTCACTCCAAGAGGGATCTCCTGGCAGTAAAAATCTTCCCATGTTCTGGAGGGGCCCTCAAGGTCCTGCAAATGAAGAGGAGAACATTTGAGACAAGAAAGCAAATAAGGCTTCCAGGAAACACAACCTTGCTACAGCAACAGATTAAAACTGACTGACTTGGCTTTGTGCAGTTCCTTCTCTGAGCCGGAAGCTGGGAAGAGGGAGGCTGAAGATGAGGAATCCAGGAGTGCTGATTTTGCCACCAAACTGTTCACAAACTCTGTGAAGTGACTGTCCACTTCCTTCATGAAAACTGGCTTCAATTGCTGACAGAGCGAAAACAGAGGAGAAAGTTGTTTAACTCTGGATACATTTTGATAAAATACTTGTATTCCCTTTTAACCTGGAGCAGGACAGAGCAAGGCATCAAGAAAACGCTCCTGTACCATCTGCCAGCAGTTGGAGCCAACTTGGACAAGACCAGGGGCTTATCCTGGCCTGTTCACTCACCTCATGCCAGAGGACTTTGAATAATGTTTATCTTCTCTATCAGATGTAACACAGAGGAGCAAAGTAAACATACTGATCTTCACATATATGTCCGGAGTGGCAGATGTTTCATATTTTATGGAGCCAAGAAGGTTGAGCCAAATTTAATACATGAGCCCCAGAAAACATTTCCCAATTTTAGCCAAAGTTACATCCTTAGCATACAAAATAAGTACAACAAGATTTACTTTAGGCCATCTAGTGTTACTGAGGGGAAAATGGACCTTTTCATGCCTGTGGCTAAGCAATCATTGATTTCTCATGAATAATGCAGAAGTGATTTCAATGATGTGACTGCAGGAAGAAGGACCAAATTTACCCTTCCACTGCTACCACTGTTTGGATGAAAACTTTCATGTACCACTGAAATTACAGAATGCACAGAAAATTTTCGCTGAAGCAACAAAGAGGGTAAAATTGATAAGCATTAAGACTGAGCAGTGAGAGGGACAAGACCGGCAGGCAGCAAGACTGAAGTGCAAGAATTCATGGGATCAAATATCCCAGATGAATCTCCTACGCTCCCTTTTCTTCAGAGAGCTTTATACAGGCTATCTTCTCTATTACAGCCAGTTATGACAAAGTTGAACCATTTTTAGTCTATTCATGTTTTTCTTCTCTCATGTTAATAGACTAAGGCAACTTCTGAAGCATCTGGTTTACTAGAGACCTTGACTTCTAAGGGTTCATGAAAAAACATACAATGAGCATCCCCCCTTCAACCATCTTTTTGGAAAAATGTACTGATACAGTGCAAAAAAAGGAGATAATCAGTTGTGGATAAAGCATAGGCCACCCTGGTCAAAGACTGCTTGCTTCACCTAATAAAGAGTTTCCTTTCTAGAAAGGAAAATGTTGCTTAACTTGCCCAATAAGTTGGCCAGACAAGGGCTATAATTCATCTTCAAAAGGCAGACTGTAAAATGTTAAGATGCTTTCATATCCCTTTTGTCTTGCCTGAAGACTAGCATGTGTAATTCATTCCTGTATTTTCCTGTCCGCAACATAGTTGGATCTGCTATTCAGTCTCATAACATGAACTTTCACAGACCTGGTCTCCCACACCCCAAGCAGAGCTTTTAAAACCAGATGCATTTAGAAGACATTTAATGATAAAATATTCAAAGTTACTTATTTCTGCATAAAGTCCTACACTGAGCTCTGGATAGCTTTTTGTTGCAGTACAAATTCTCTTACTCTTTATATGTATATAGGACCCTGAGATTTCCAGTGGTGTAAGTATTATTCTTACGACTAGAAAAACAGCAGGCAAAATTAATTCCCTCAAGGAAAGAAAAAGGCTATATGCAGTCGCTCTATTTCAGTGAGAACTTCGGCAATCTAAAGATCCTAAGATCTCTGGTGATTCAGAAGACAGTGATTTGTAAGACTTCTGAGAATTCAGTTCCTTAATGTCAAGCCCTCAGACACCAAACGGCTCTCCCAACACTTGAGAGCCTAGTGACGAAGCATGGCTGAAAGCTAACCTCCAAGTTCCTGAACCAGAAGCCTTTTGAGAATGCTTTGCCAGACAGACATCTTCAGAACAGGAGATTGGCAAGTTTCAAGAAGTTACTTCAAATCTAATTGCATACTGTATTTTGCTTTCTTTATGCAAGTGTCTACCAAAAATATTTGTCTGACCATCCTTTTGCCTGGGATTTTTTAAGTTTGCCTCCAAATTCAAGGTCCAAGTCTTCCTACACTATAACTACATATTATTTCATGTAGTCTTCCTACTGATCATCTGCTTAAGAAACACTTATCTTTCCCTGATCACCTTCAGTATTCCTGACTGCTACCTAACTTTCTAATCTTTAAGGCTGAAAAGTAACAAAACCAAGAAATCTATTTTCAAGGAGGGAAAGAGCCTGGAAGTTGTGCACAAAAATGATGCTTCCTCAAAAAGGCATTTGTGACACTTGAGCTCATTTGTCAGTAGGTGTTTATGTTTCAGTGCCTAACTACTATGCTAAAGAAAGCTGGAGCAGCAAATTTTTGCTAAAAAGGAACAGGCACAAGGTCTAAGAAAAGAAGGAAAAGCCAGATAGCTGAAAGGATCTGTTAGCTCTGAGCTGCAGCAGTGATATGCTCACCTCTTACATGGACCTCTTTCCACAACTATGTTTTATGGAGTCTATTTCCACTGATGGACACTTGTCATCCATGATATATCATTCATTTTTCAAGCAGACTTGGATTCATTTTATACAGCAGATCACCCAAGATACTAAGCTAAAAAGCCCTCTAGGCTAACAAAATATATTAATAGATGAGATGTGCTACTGTTTAATGTGACAACAGCCAAGCAAGCAAGTTTAACTCTCTGGCAGGAAATACCACATAAAACCAGAAGACCCTGAAGTCGAGATGGATAAGAACTCTACATTCCTCCTGTTTCATAGTGGTCAGATGCAGAGATATCTCTTGAAACAGAAGCTGCAGTAGGAGGAGGAGCAGATTAACATTTTTCCCCTATTTGGCAGCTGCCAGCATAGAATAAACAAGCTTCACCAGTGCTTAACAGAAGCACTTAGGAGATGGCTACTCTTAGCTATTGCTTTTCTGGGAGGTAGAGAAGAGGACTGTATCTGGAAGAAATGTGGACTTGTTCCTTTAAAAACAGGAGAGAAAAGAAAAAAAACATACAAACCCAACATTGACTACTTTGGAACTACAACCACGAACAGGAGACACCAGTGCTCTCTGGCACAGCCTGCTTTTACAGCATGCATGCACCTACCTCTACCAAAGAAGACAAATAGAAATTCCTGCTCCTCTTGGAGCACTCAAATTTCTATGCCAAACAAAGCACTAATAATTCCTACCAAAACTCTGCCTTTTTTTTAAAGTCTCTCCCCTTTTTTTCAGCCTAATCTCCTCCCAGCAAGAGTCTAACAGAAATTATTCCCTTAAGATATCTCTTCCCTTTAGTTAACACTCTGCTGAGATTGCCTCCTGCTAATACAACCCTCCAGGGCTGATGTCAACATATGCAGGTGTTTGGATTGGGAGAGCAGGGCCTGAGTTCTCATTAAACAAAATACAACCAGAACATAGATCCTACAGTAATTGTAATTCTGTACAAAAAAACTGCACAACAGTTCATGCTGTATTATCAGCTATTACTACTGCCATTCAAAGATCAATCATCTACTTGAGCAATTGCCAGAGTAACTGTCAGTGCTCAATAAGCCAAGTGCATTCCACTCAGTCACCACAGAAATGACACTTAAGAGAATGTCTCTCCCACCAGCCTTCACTATACCAGGGCATGGATGCACAGATGGCTTCGCTGAAGCTTCCCGCAATGGAGAGCACTTAACTAAGAGTTTCCTAAAATGTGCTTGAAGTCTCAGACAAGGAACTGGGCAGATCCGATCAGCTGTCACCATTAAGTTTTAAACAAAAAAAGTCAGATCATTTCAAAACCAAAAAGGGGGGCAAGTTTGAAAAAAAATGCTATTCCATAAAAAGCAGAAGCTGGCCAATAATTCATGAGCAGGCAGAGAAAGTTGAGGAAAGTAAGCCTGTAGCTTACTTATAAAGTTGCAAAAGTTCCCCAGCATTTTACTCATTCTAACAGATTTAATCATTTCAGTCACTAAAACATGACAACATCCAGCCCTGACCCAGTGACAGAACACACCATTCTCAACTCAGTTCAGGATGAACAAAGGACTAGGTTTTCAGACTGGACTGCAGATGCATGAACAATACCTAGCACCTACAAATCCAATCTAAACCAGTGGGAGTTGTCAGTGACCAGCACTTTTCAGAAGTCAAACCTCTGTCTAGACCTCAGATACCTGTCACCTAAAAGGTAAACTGCAATCCAAGCCTTTGTTCTGTGGCTCACACAGCAAAAAGGCTCCAGAATTCTCAGAAATTTTACAGTACATGAAGGTTCTTACTTAGCCTTATACCCATTATTATGGCTTTGCGGCATGTTAAACAAATTTGCAAGCTGGCTAACTCGGGGTTTAAAACCTGAACTCCCCATGTTTTGGGGAAAAACTTCGGTAATTAAAGGGCCACTGCTGGTTTTCTTCAATTCTCTTTGCAGATACAAACAAGTTTGTCTACAAACCAGCATGTCTCAAAGCTGGTGGCCAGAAAAGATTTAGAAACTAGAGACATTCCTGAAGAAAGAAATCCCAGACCATGTTTCCCCTTGCAGTCAACTAGTGTCCTCTGGAACTTACAAAGCTACATGTGCTTAACAGCCAAAGCTTTCTCATGCAAGTATCTGTTGCCAACAGTGATTTGCCGCAGCTGTTTTGTCTGCAGAGAAATGATATGAGGCTTGCTTTATCATGTTCTCAGTAAGAATCATTCAGAGAAGACAACGTACAAAAAATTCAGAGATGACAACCCATATAATGTGCTGAATTTTAAGAATTTCATCACAAAAAGCAGTACACCCTTTGCAGAAGGCATTTAAGTACACTTTAGTTGCATCTGTTATAAATTACATCCCACCTATAAAAGTGAAAAAGACTTTTAAACAGGAAAACATCTCAAAGGTGCAAGATATTCTTCTCCAAGTATCCACTCCCTAATGTTCACATAAGGCTGGCACGATTAGATTACTTCATCTTTACCAAAATGAAGCAAGAGTGCAGGACGATTTGCCCTGAAGAACGTGTGTTACAAAACAATGCTTACCAAGAAGGGTGCAGTTCATTGTTAGCTAACTTCATTTAATTTGGGCATAAATCACTTTAACATAAGCTAAGACAATGGCAGCTTACACAGACGCAGATGATGTTAGATACACCCAGTGCTATTTTCTTTGAGAATATTGCTCACTGACGGAAAGAGTGGGACCAAGGCTCAGGAAGGTCACCTCCACAGCCAGAGCAACAGCAGCTGTGGGATACAGGCTACACGCCAGCCTTTTATCCAATGGATAGCAGGACACAGAGCATTTGGAAGACTAAATATGCAAGCAGACTAGCTGATAACCACACTGCCAAAAGTTAGTGGTGAGAGAAGTTCCATTTCATTTACAAGCCTCAAAGTTCATTCTTATCTTTGGACTTCAACCTACTGGGGTCAAGTAAGACCAAACTGCATTTGATAATACTACTCCTCTCGTGCAAAGTCATAAGAGAGAAGGAGGAGAGAAAGAAGGATGTATAAAAGTCACTGCACACAAGCTATGACTGAATAGGGATATTTGTGTTCCAGGACTAGGGACTCTCCAAAAGGCATTCTGCATCAATTATCCCACTCCTCCCCACAAGCAAGCATTAGAGTATATTTACCTCAGCTTCTGCTATTAGCTGCATTTTCCTTGTTATCACATGGTCGACATCAACTCGGCCTAAGGAAGGAAAGCAAACATTTAACATTTGCATTTTCAGTGATGCGAGCTGCACAGAAAGGACAACATACAGTAGCTTAGTCACTGACTTTTCATTAGCGCTTCTGACTTCTGAATTCATAAGCCATGACCAAGTATTTTAAACAGCCATTTAGGATCACAGTGCTATAAGGTAGTTAACAGCTGATAACATGCTGGATTTTCGAAAGCTTTATTTTCCATCAGCAACTCTGCAAATCTTCCCAAGGTCCCTAAACATATTCAGCCTTGAAGCAGCAATCAGAACAACCCTTAGAAGGTCATATCCAAGCGTGCTGATCTTTTATCAGAGCTTTATCTTATGCACAGTGAACTAGGCACAAGATTAGGTTGTCTAGAGGTCTCTGTATTGCCAATAGATCTGATTGCCAAGGCAGTCAAGTCATGACTATCTGTAAAATAAAGTAACCAGGCTAAAAGTCAAGTTGGAAGGTTCAAGCTGCTCTTTTCATTCCCAGGAGAAGTGCTAGATATCAGTCTGACTGCACTCCCCAATATGTTTCATCTCTTAAGCAGTCAGGTCTAACCATGCCATGAACATCATCTGACTTTTATCAGTACCAATACCATTGGCTAATATGTAAAGCCTCAAATATCACCTTTCTTTTGCATAACGAACTATATACCTCTGAGATGCCTCTATTACATTGAGCAGAACATACACAAATCAGACATTTCAGACTAGTTGAATTTTAAGACAAAGTTTGTCTGCAATGGTTGTAGAGTTCCGACAAGCCAGCTGATGTTTCACTTCTCCAATAACAACAACACAGAAGATAAAGTTACTTAAAACAGTCTTGCATATGAAGGAAAAGCAAGATGAAAGCAGCAATATCCACGCCCCCTAAAATACTAGACAGGGTGAAAAAAGATAGCAACAAACCTTTCCTTCTGCATGTCCTTTGGCAATTACAGCTACAACAGTACCTTACGCAGTAACACATGGCAAGCATTACATGTTCAGCATCTAAGACAACATTACGACTTTTAGAAAAAAGAGAGTACTGAAGTGATTCTCTAGTAACATTTCCAGTGAAGCATGAGCTAACAGATTTGCAGTAGAGGTGTCAATATTGTGCTGCTGTGTGACAAGATGACAGATTCATAGCAGTATCACAGTTCATAATGCGGCCTTCTTGTCTTGTTCTCCTTGTACATGTGCAGCCTATGCACACAAAATGCAGTGTGATGTTTTAATAGAAGCAAGTGCTCCTGTGATGCACACTACTCTGAAGGTACTCTTATGAGCAAGCCAGTTGTAAGAAGTTTAGGCAGACCTGCTTCAGAGATTTCTCCAGTATTGGAACTGGAGTTGAGTTAAATGAAACAAGAGAACATCTTCAATGAAGCTATGCTCAGTTGTTAGCATTAATTTCTCCCTCTGCCATGCAATCAAGCAGGAAGATCATTTTTTGTCTATAAAAACTGCTACACAAACTATAAACTTAGGAACAGTCGCAGCAGCAACAGCCTATTACTTAGCAGCCTTGTAATGCAACAACAAAGAAGGAAACTGCTTAACACCATGAATTTTTGGCTGCATGCAAAGATCTATTTTTACAAAAATAGAATTCCTGGTTGCTAAGCATCTCACCTCCAAGACAAAAAGAATTACATCAGCATTTAAGCTCCTCATGCTGTTACACTCTCTGAACTGCATCAGTTTGGAAAACAATTTGAGAGAAGAGTGTAAGATAGCACTACGGAATCCCTTGTCCCACTCAGCTCATGCACTTTGCTGGTCTTAAATGGATTCCCCCTTCCCTCTCCTCCAATAAATTTAAAAAATAATAATAATAATAATAATAATCAAGTTGTCCACAAGCAGCAGAACTGTATCCCCTTCATATCATCTCAGTGGCTCTACTCCCTTACTGCACCACTTCACAATTATATTCATAACCCCATACCCCCATTACTACTACCCTACGAACCACCTTGTGTTTACCTGCTAGAAAGCAGAGCTAGACAGAGCTGTTGAGGTCAAGTACAACTAGCCTTTTCCTGAAAAATGTAAGAATATCCAGATGCCAGTCTTCAAGACTCTGTCAAATTTGCTTGAAGCCATCCAACACGGTCAAAGAGGACAAGACACATGACACTTAAGGGATTGCACTATTTCCTTTGTAAGCTAAGCTATAAATAAATAACCACTTTAACCATGTATTTCCTGTCAGATCTTGCATTCAAAGCCTCAGTTATTATAACTACCCAGGAGTGGCTCACTTTGGAAATAAAACACCCTTTTTAACTTACAAGGCCTTAAAGATGGATATAGTTTTACAGATACCTAACGTACAACTTTAATGGTTGTACAGGAAATGAGGCCAGTATCTGAGCTGCTGACATTGTAATTGCTAAATTGTATGCAGTGTTCCTCCTATCACTTTATTTATTCACCCACACACCAGCATGTAATGCACAGGCTAGATTAGAAACACAGCATCTTTCAAAAGGCTTTAAAATCAAGATCTCTGTGTCTTTAGTATATGCAGCTCATATAACAAAGTAAAACTACCTGTAAGCTTGTTGCTTCTTTTCCAGAACAGTCTCCTGTAAAAAACTCACCCCAAAACAACAACTTATTCTGCTGTGTTGCATCGCCCCATAAACTCAAGCTGCATCACAAGGCAGATACCAGAGAACAACTCATCATCTTCGTGAATCATTCATCTTCTGTTGTGCAAGCTGCTACTTATGTTCTCTGAGGTCATTCAAGAAGAGAATCGGCACATGATTTTGAGTCTGAAAGGAATTGTGCACTGCTGAGAAGTCTAAATCTTCATTTTCATTTAACATTGAAAATGAAAACTAGATCCCTCTGTATCACTTTAGCATTGCAACATCATTACAAAATTGGAGTCAAGGCTGCACAGGACAAGCAAGCACATCTTAGCACTTAAAACGAGATGGGATATGCCCTCAGAGGAAACGTAGTTAAAGTCATAAGGAAGAAAACCTTTGAAAACTAGTATGAAATAGTAGCAAATTTCACAGGAGACTCAAGGAGGGTTTGCTTTAAAAGAGCTTTGCTCACAAGGAGAAGTTTTAATGGGAGTTGTGCTTCCTTCCCATCAACAGTAGCTGGCTACTTGTCTTGGGCTTGTAGAAACCGCTACACGTAGGATGTGACACCTCTGCACAGCCCAATTCCCAGCAAGTTCAAGTGTCAGAAATGAAAAAATAAGCAATTTAAATAGGTAAGCTTTGTTTCCACAGGCAATCAGCCTAATAAAATATCACCTGAAGATTGAAAAAGCTTCTTACTGTTGAAAACTTGAGCAACTTCAGTTTCACAAAAGACTTACAAACTACTTTCCGTAAAGGATCTCTGTCCCTTTTTGAACCTACTCTTGTAAATGTTATAGATAAGTGACACTTGAGATGACTAGAGAAGCATCCGTTCATATGATGTTAATGGTGCAGTTTGGGATCCAACAAAAACAGTTTCTACATAAGACACTAGCCAGCACTAGGCAAGCTCTCAAAAATTAACTGTGTTAAGAAGCATTAATTTTATTTAACCACTGGAGTCTGCAATTACCACCAAGGACACAAGTGGGAATAAGTCATTTGAGTAAAGCCGTGGCTTGCATGCAGTGTTACAGTTCCAGCCTGTAGTGACTTCACCAGCCACAGAGGCTGCCTGCAGCCCTGTGCTCTGAGCCATCATCACTCAAGCCATTCCTGTATTGTGGCAATAAGCTTATTATTGAACACTTCAAACAACCCTGGGAGACTATCTAAATCACTGCACAGCATTCAAGACAAAAACGCCTCTTTGCAGAGGAGCTAGGAAAAGCATACGAACAAACTGCAGTGTATTGCCACATGTTCTTCAGAAAAAAAGACACTTTTCAGAACAGCCAAGCACACCACTCACAGTTCAGAAGCATTTTCCCTTAATAACAGGATCTGTTCAGCTTCAGGATCTTCATGGAAAGCCACAGATACAAACAGTACTCAGTAGTGCTCTTCTCTAAAAGTGTTTAAAAATATTATCTTCGTTATTTCTTGACCAGACAACTTACCACTCAAGGGGTTAAAGCAATGTAGGCAGAAGGACTTCATTACTGTCAGATACCTGGATGCAAAGGCTCCCTCTCTAAAAACACTGAAGATGCTATCTGTAGGAAAACAATGTTAAAGCCAACCTAGCTCAAGGCTACTGTAAAGAGGGGAAGTCTTCCATATCTGCTACAACACAACATATGTGAATAATTTGATACTAATAAGCCTTATTCTTACTTATGGTAATTCATTTGGCCACTCAGCAAAGGCAAGTTACAACTAGATTGCTCCCAGAACTCATCTGATCTGCTTAAAGAATGCATTGGCCATAGGTCACCGCGCTGCAGCTGGGCAAGGAGTTCAGTTAAAGTCATTTCTGCATGGACATGGGACCTAAACAGCCTCTTCACCAGAAGGAAGAAACACCAGGATTCTCTATATGATGCCAGCACGTCCTCAGGCTCTTCACAAAAAAACTGCTCAGCCTTCCCTAAACCCACAGGTTGCAAAAAGTGAGAGCCTAGAATTACCAGAATCCAGCTAGTCTCAGACAAGACAGCTCTGTTTGATTCTTCTCCTGGAAACATATCCAAGATACGCAGTTCAAGCAGCTTAGTACCAAATTCACTAAACCGTAAGAAATAGCCTGTTGATACAATGAACACTTATTGCTGTGAGTCATACAGCAAACCCTAAAGCTTTCCAAATTGCTCCCTGTTTCAGAGCTCCCTCCTCCTCCATCTATCAGTAGGTACACACAATTCATGCAGTGTCATGAACTTTTGCACAAAGAATGATCAATAGTAACCTCTTCATTGGAAGATAACAATGCTAAGATCAGCGTTGCCCAACAAGCTTACTCACACCAACGATACGCCACAAAGCTTGTTTGCAGATCAGCCTCCAGAGACACTTCTAATCCTTTTCTGATTTCTGAGGAAACACAGGCAGACTCCAAAACCATCAGTTTACTGTTTTTAATGGTCTAATCTTAGCATTTTAGAGACACTCAGATACACGATTAAGCATCATGACCTCTCTAACCTTTTAAGATCTGCCCATGCAGTTTCTATTATGCTCATTCCAGGTAAGTTTTCCTGCAACTGGTATTGCCCAATACTAATAACCCATAAAGCAGAAGAGTTTTGTATTTCCTTATATATCTCCAGCTGAAAACGTGAGACTAATCTTATTAGGGAAGCCCAGCTTTTGACAGGGGATTATTGCTGCCTAGATCAGCTGTTGACTATGACAAAACCAAATTAGTTGTTTAGTTCTGACAGTGGAAACGATTCAAGGAGAAGTGATATATGAGACTGAAGTTCAGCTACTCTGTCAAAGTGAAATTACAGACTAAATGATTATAAGATACAGACACATCAAGAGACGGAAGAATTCTTCTGGCAACCTCAAAGCTATGAATATTTCCACATGGATATAAATTTGGGGGTACCCAAGTACAAACTATTCTGTCTTAGAATTCAAGCAATGAGACAGTTCTTAGAAGCATTGAAGAGGCAAGAAAAAAAACAAACCTAAACTAAACAAATGAAAGAGTCAAACCTAATGTAGTTCTAAAGCCAATGTACGGATTAAAATTATTCCTCTAATCCATTGCAGATCAGCCAGTGCATTTGAGTTTTAATGAAGAAAGGACTAATGGTCTAGAAGTTTCTGTAGAAAGTTCATACACTTCTGCAAACAACTCAATTGGTCCTTGACACATTAACTCTTAAGTTAAAAAGTAGATTGTGTTTGCTAATCAGGGAGGATCGAGAGTGGGAAATCACACTAGCAATTTAGTTTTTCTGCAGGAATAATTGCCACAAAGACACTACATATTTCCTTGCATACAAGATACTGTCTTAACCTGGCTAGAATGCTCTGATTGCAATAAACACAGATCTTGTCTAAAATTCTACACAACACCCAGTGTTAAGATGCTACAGTGTAATAAGGATGTTGCCAGACAGCAGTTCATTAGCCTCCTGCTGCCTTTGTACAAATCAGGGCTAATGCCTTAAAAACTGCTATTCAGAAGTAAATAGCTAGGACAATAGAAGTCTGGCTACTTCTTTTGAGAAATTCTTCCACCTCAGCTGTTCTTTCACAGAAAGCCCTACCCAGTTATGCAAGCATACTGAGCTACAAGAAGAGGCTACGTGGAACAGGTGAACACTTCAACTTTGTAAAGCTTCAACCTTTGTGTCAGATGCTGATCTAACCCCACTGTACGGAAGAATTCCTGACCAGAGGGATGCACCTTCCTCCTGGGCCCATAATGTGGTCAGGCATCAGATTCACGCCTCCTACCTCCCTGTGGCGTTCCTGTTGTCCCCATCACTGTGCTGAGCAAAGAGTCTGCAAAAAATGGTAACACTTAGGTCTTGGTGACACTGCTGAATTGGCAGCAACTCTGGAAGGTAAGAGACACCTAATCTTAAGTAACCAGGATTCTTCCCCACTGTCCTTGCTGTCCTTCACTGCAGTTTGTACTGTATTAAAACACACTGCATTGTTCTAAGCCAACACATCAGGCACACGTACACACGCGAAAGCTCAGTATACTTTGAAGAGATCTGCCCCAGAATATTTACTTGCTACGTGCCCACAGTATATCACCTGCGGTGACATTATACCACATCTCAGAGGTATTAAAATGAAAGGCTATTAAAGACAGGCACACCCACCTATCAAGCGCTAATTATCACAGCTATATTTATTCTTCACGCAGAAGCTTGCACAAATTCACGCATAACAGTTAAGGTGTTTCCACAGTTAAAAAGGAAGGAGTCTGCTTCTAAACCCATTGTAACTGTTTTCCAGTAACCATCAACTCCAAGAAATTTTCTAAAAAAAAAAAAGTCCCATATCATTCAGTCAAAATGACCACCAGCAGTTTACAATCCCAGTTCTCCAAGTAGCCTGTGGGATGGCTTTCCCTCCAATGTATTTTTTTCAAGAGGAAACCTGACTTGTCTTAAACTTAAATTTGCTCCAACTCCTGTTTCAGTTTAAAGAAGTACTATGAAATACGGACAGTATTCAGAAGCATACCAGTAAGAATTACCTCCTTGAGTCACTGGGACCAGGGTTTTGGAACTCAGACTCACATGGCACACTGTGATGAACTAGTTTCACTGTTTTGCTTATTCTGTCTCCCAAAGAGAAAGGAAACAAGCTGCAATGTCACTGTTAACCTCCTTATCACCAGGCTGGAATGTGGTACAACATAAGCCAGGAATTAGAGACAGTCACCGTGTCCACAGAGTCCACAGGCAGAAGTACCACTCATACAGCCACACAACTGTCCCTGCAACTCAAGGGACTGGACACAGGCAGCAGTGACCCTTCTAAAAAGCCACCTATAAGCCACATAACTTTTAAGGTGATCACAATACAAATGAATACAGACCCAACTGTTTATTGTTCTATTTTATGGCAGCCAAGGTTGAGACTGGATAGAAGAGAGCTGTTCTGACATTAACAGAGCCCCGCAGGAGCAGAGAAACATTTTTTGTGGCATCCTATCTCCATCTGTCTGTCAGGATGGATACACCAGCTCAGCCTGGTATGTTAAAGACCATTTTGTTCAGTCTTGAGGAAGTCACATACCTAAAGCTTGTAAAGGAAGCAAGATGCAGTCCCCATAAAAAGCGTTTAACAGGATTACTCAAAATTGTTGACAAGATGCATCTGTACAATTTACAGCATTTAAAGCATCTCCTCATCACACACATTTGTCCTGTGACAATTAATCCCTTTCCTTACTCTAGATCCCTGTAAGCACTGCAGCACACAGTCCCTCAGAGAAAGTTATGCAGGCAGCACTTCAAACATCCTAAACCTGCTGAAGAACAGCAAGAGCCATGAGCTAGAAGGGACACCTTAGAGGAGATCACACGCCAGAGACACAACTCATCCCAAGCGAAAGAGTCTCACCATTGCTTGAGTTTTGAAACGACCTCTCACTCTCAGGTCTCCTCTGAGTTTCTTCGTTCTCAGGAGTCTTGCAGGTGGTAGCGGAGCCAGACTGGCGTTTTCTTACACAATCTTCACCTGCCATTGTTGCCTAGCTAGACCAGAAAAGAATAGCAGATAATTAATGACAAAAGAAACTCATTTGCTCTTTACATTGTTCAAGAATAAATATACATATCCTTCTTTACACTAAAGTAAGACTTTCTTCCCTCCGTTATGAATTCAGAGCAAGGGTAGGGGAAATTAAGCACACATTTCTATTAGTCATTTACTGTGGATCACACTTCCTTTCCCCTGTTGCAAGCAGTAAAGGAACAAAGTAACCAAACAAATCTCCCCACCACTACCAGAGTATCACCCCACAGCTTCCTCCTGTCTCTACAGACCTTCTAAGTATTTGAAATTACTTAAGTGCTTGCGAAATCTTTAAAAGGCCAAAAAGCCCTTGCAAATGCTTTCTGATAGTCTGTTGGACAGCAAAATTTGTCTTCCGAGAGATCTGGCAGGTTTGCTTTGCAGAATCACATTATTTTTCCAGAGCCAAGCCCCTTACTGTCAAGTTTTCAGTTCTTACTGAAAGAGCAGCTTCCTCAATAGATCCTTGTACTCTGCTTGGCCAGACAACAGTTGCATTGCAAACCACAGAAAAACAGGAAGAGAGAATCAGGTTCGAACTACGCCAGATTCAGTGACAAAGGTCACTGCTGGGGACAGAGCTGCTAGCAGGGGACACCTGAACCACCAAAGCCAGGCTGAAAATAAGAAATCCTCAGTTAATGAAAAAGGGAGGAGGAGATTCTAATTTGGTCACAAAGTGACACTCCAGCACAGTCCCCACAAAATTCAGTTCAAGAAGCTCTCAGAGATGTAGCTACAACCAGAGGCAATTTTCAGAGCTGGACTCGTAGAAAACCACACAGGCATAAAACGTTTTCAAACCAACGCTTCTTTGTTATATATTTTTTCCACCTTGGCACAAACTCTTAACTAGACATGTGTTTCATTGCTAGTGAACAGAATACATGCACCAGCACAGATGAGCTGTTAGAGACAGGCAAGGAAAATTCATGCTCTTACAGAAAAACTAAGAAGGCAGAACATCATTATTTAACAATGGATTTCCTCAGAATATTGAGGATGGCACTTCTGCAAAAGGGAAATAAGACTATGATCAGACATTTTCAGTACTCGGCTTCCTATGTTTATCCCTCTAGTAGAACAGTCTCCCATTCTCCTCTCAGCCATCACAGCATATAGGGGAAAAAAACCTTTTGTACCACCAAACAAGAACTCACTAATTCAATCACCAACACCATTTCTTGCAGCACTGTCTCTCTTGGCTCTCTCTGTCTCAAGAGATCACAGCCAGGTCTACATGCTATAAAACAAAGACCATAAAAATGACAAACTTCCCAGCTGGCTTTGTATAACACCTGATAGCTCACATTATCATAATTTACATAACGTAAAAAGCATTTATATGAAGAACTGAAGGAACCAGGCAAGAATATGGTAAGTCTTCCTACAGTAACTATGCTCACCGTCACAGAAAAGTAGCTGGCAGGACATATCCACTTCCTACCAGCCCTGTTACTGCTGCAACTCTCCTGAATAACCCTCTTGTCTTTAAACACATGAAGACATGACTCTTCCCACAAGGTTCCCAGTACAGATACAGCCGCATCATGTTAAGAGCAAAGGATCATTTTGCCCACCTGGGCCTTACAACTACGTGCTCATCCTGGACAGGCAAACATTTCAGTCTTTCTCCTCTTACACAAGGAAGATGCCTAAAACCCTATCAAAGGACAAGAATGGATCACTCTAATCATATGATAGGGTCTACAGAACAGCTGCCTTATAAATTCACGCACTGACAAGCTACTCCTTGGGCCACTAGCGAGCCTCTGTATTGCCTTCTGATCCAAGTTAAGCTGTTCTCGTGAGCCACATCTGTCCTGGAAGGTGCAGGTTTTCCAGCTCTAACAGAGGACCGCAAGTTTAGTTCCTTTTTCAATACAATTTTCATCTTCTTCAAGAGGTGAAGAAGGCACTCCTTCCTCTCTACTCCACAGTGCATACTGCAAGGCTAGCAGAAAAGAGTTAAAAGTAGCATTTCAGGATGGGGAAAGGAAAAATCATTATGTGGGAAGAAAAGAAAAAGTTAAAGCAATTAACTTAAGGAGTTGAATAACTCTTTAGTAACTGAATTCAGATAAGCTAAGTGATCACAGAAAAGCCTTTTTCACACTAAGACAAGAACCGTGCTAGGGAAAAATCTAGGAAAACAAACATTTTCCTAGTCTAGTTTCCATATGAAGAGAGGTACAACTACTGTACCTAAGCAACTATCGGCACATCAGTTCATAAAAGAGGGCATCAGGCCTGCCCTCTAATCTCTGCTAGAGCTAAATCAATCACGACACAATGCCAGGAAATCGCCAAAACGTTCACCATCCCCCTCAAAAAAGGAAATCGCTCCTCACAATTAATAAAGTCACTCCATTCACCCCACTCTGGGCACTTACAAGACATCCAGAACCACAAATGTGTCCCATTATCAGACTGCCCAACAGAAACTCCCTGATTTTACAGGCATGACTGCATTATGGTACTCGTAAAAGGTCTCAGAAACCTTGAGTTTCTCCATCTTCCCTTTCGAAACACAGGTAATTATAAGCGTGCCTTAGGAGAAAGACAACACCCTATACGAAGTACACCTTTGCATTTCAAAAGGCTTGGTAGCGCAGAGAGGGCACATCTTCCACCTCCAATACTGCTTATGCTTAATAATAACCTTATTGTTAATATATTTTTATTATAATAAATATAATTATTAATAATAAGGTTATTAATAACAATAACCTTCCGGACCTCCAAGGTTTTCCTCCCGCCCTTGGGCATTACAGTAACTACCAGACCCGGTGTGCTACATCCTCGGCATCCGCAGAATTCCTCACGAATCAGGCAGGTACCAAAACAAAGTTAAGGTCATTCCACAGCTCAACCGCAACGCGCAAAACACTCGTTAGGGAAAAAGATGGGGGGGGGGGGGGAAATAAAAAAAAAGACCGAAACCTGCAGATAACCATGGAAGCTGCTTAAAGCGCTGCCGGGGCTCTGAGCACACCCCAGAACCCAAAGTCAAGCTCCCTTCCCCACTAACTCCCTGGAAACAAGCGCGGAAGTGTTATCCGGCGGTGCCCGCTGCCAACCACGACACCCCCCCGCACCTCCCCCCACCCAAACCCCAGCCCTGAGGGCGCCCGGAGGCCTGCGGAGCGCTCCCCCCTCCCCGAGCCTCACGGCCCCGCGGCAGGGCTCCGGGCACAGCTTCCCCCCGCTCAGCAGCACCGCGCCGGGGCGAGGAGGAGGGGGGGGGGGGGGGCCGGCCGGGCCTCAAGCCGGCGGCGGGACGGAGCGGAGCGGAGCGGAGCCGGACCGGTCGCCCTCACCCCGCGGGAGCGTCACCTCAGGGCGACCGAGCCCGCAGCACCAGCAGCAGCCGCCACCGCCGCCTCCTCCGCGCGCGCGCGCGCCGACCGCCCCGCCGCCGCTTCCCGCCTCCGCCGCGCGCCCGCGGCTCGCGCACGTCACCGCGCAGAGGGGAGGGGGAGGGGGAAAGGAGAGAGAGGGGGGGGGGGGGGAGGGAGGAAGAGCGGCGGCACCGCCCATTGGCTGGGAGGCGTTCCGCGTGAGGGGGTGGGGCGGGGCCGCGGGGGCGGTGGGAAGCCGGGTGGGAGGCGGCACGTGAGGCGCACGTGGGGGACGCACATTTCCCCCCCCCCCCCCCCAATTTCCCGCCTTTCCCCCCCCCTCCCCCCCCCCCCCCCCGCCATCTCCCCCCCTTCCCCGAGTTTCCCGCCTTTCCCTATCAGGCGTCGTGGCGGGACGGGGCCGCTGGCCGCCACCTCATCCCGGTCCCCTTGAGGCGCAAAGCGAATCGGAGGGAGAGCTGACCCTCACCCCCCCCGGGAGCCCTGGGTTCGCTCAGTCAGCACCCACGGGCCGGCCGGCCCTCGCCCTGAGGGGGCAACCCCCCCACTTCTCCCTCAGAACAAGGAGAATTTATTTCAGGGAACCGGCAGGACACAGAAGTCAAGGCTGGGAGGCCCGATGGACCCGGTGGCTTTATCTGTCCTCGTCCTTGAGAAGGAAGGCCGAGTTGCTCAACAAGCGCTTCCCTCGGCGTCCGGGTACAAACACGCGTCCTCCCCAGCGAGGTTCTTCCAAACAGCTTTACAGGAGCAAGGGCAAATATTTTTACAGGGAAGTACAAATGGAATGCCTGCCAACTTGAGCAGCACTCCCTGTCGCCTGGGAAGAGGGGTTTTGTGTCGAGGGGCTGTTCACCCTCACAAGGTTTGCCGGGGGAGCCTGACCTGCAGCTCACTGGTTGGGGGGGAGCTGAGAAGGGGGCTGGCTGGTGAGGTCTCCTTCAGTCCCAACCTGTACTCCCGAGGGTCAAAATCTGGGCGAAAGGCTGGGGTTTGCACCCTCGCTTTTGTCTCCTTCCCCAAGCAGACGCAGGCTCGTGACGGATGGTGAGTCACAGCAACACGTCACCAGCCAACAAACTCTGGTAACCTCTCAGTAGCTGCATTTCACTGTGTAAATGGGAAAGTTTTCCCAAAGTCAGGAGAACTAAGCCACTAATTTCCTATTGGCAAGTACGTGTCTTTCCTTCTCCTCATGACTTCAGGGCTGTGCTATGCACGATACGTACCCAGCTGCACCTTGAAAGGTTGTCCCAAACCGAAGTACGAAGCTACAATGAGATATTAAAACATTTCTATCACATTTCACCTTACCAGACCCGTTAATGAAACAAATTTGGTTTGACCAAAACACACTTGAGTCACACTCTTTTAAATGTGTAACTCTGCTGGAACTATTCAGAAGTTGTCTTAAATAATCTGTGGGGACTCAGAGCTGAGCCACTGAGTGAAAAAGTCTGAAACAGATTCAGTTTGCAATGTGTGTTCACACTGTTATCCCAGCACCCATCTTTCATGGTGCTTAATAGGAAAACTGTTGTTAAAATTAAAAGATTAAAAAAAAAAAAAAAATCCTATCACTGCTGAAATGCAAATAGCTGCATGGGTGATAGCACCAGGAATTTTTACATAACTTTCCCCGTTCTTAAGAAGTCGATTTTAACACAATGCTGCTTAGAGATACTGTCAAGTGAGGCTATACACGATCGCTTGTGACCTGATGCTGAAAATGCTGTGCTAGCTGTTTACACTGAAGTGTCTTGCGGTGCCAGCATGGGCTGGGTGAGCAAGTCAAAAAGCAAAAAACAAAATTACCACATCCAAGACTTTCCAAAAGTTCAAAAAATTGATGATGAAACTGTTTCATCAAATTAGTAAAACCCTTACTCTAGGTGGCAGGAAAATGAGCTACCTTTAATAGAAGGAAAAGTGCACCTAACTTTCAGAGCTAGTCAGTTTGCTTTTCTTATTTTGCCTTAAAGAGGCTGTGGATAGGTGCCACCAGGTTTTTTTCGTACCTCTTGACAAATCTCCCCTGCCAAAGCAGCACAGCGGTGGCTCGCTCTTTCCCTAGCAGAGCTGTTTCACAGGCTACCTCCCCTTATGTTTAGAGGCTGTTTACCTGCAGCTCACCAAGGGTGAAAAGCGAAGCTCTTGTTACCTTTCTTCCCTTCTTTTACACAAGAAATTGGAAGAAGGCACCTCTGCTTCCTGCCACTGACACCCATTTTCTGCTTCTCTTCCCAGGTCCAAATTGCTGCGCTGTTTCATCATTTACTCTGCTTGTCACCACAGTGATTGCAATCTTGATTTTCTGGAGTGTTTTACAGTAATCCTACAGGTTGCGTTGCTCAACAATTGCCTAACCACGACTGTTCCTGAGCACTCCTGGCTGAATCACTGCGTGATCATTTCCATTTATTGACATGCGAACCTGTGGCCCTGAAACTCCAACTTTTTGTTTCAGCCTCACTTGCTCTCACCTACCCAGTGCCAGGCAGTACCTTGACTTCTGCAGCACTGCTTCCTTTCCCCTTCTTTCCCTTCCCGTTCCCCTAATAGAAGACACTGTCTGTTACTCTTCCATTCTTCCTGTCTGTCTGTCTTTCTCTGTTCCCCCCCCGCCCCAGGCTGTCTGCATAGCAAATTATAGTTACAATTGCACACATTACCTGCGGTCACTGTGGCTGGTGGCTGCAGACACTCTCCATGCAGTGGCCACTGGCCAAGCCTGCAATATGCCTATCACCTTGGGGAGGACATATAGAAAAGCCTCTGCTGTTAACGCATATGTGCTGCCCAGGGTGGACGATACACCCCACGGTGACTGGTGGGGCCTGGGCAGCCCAGGGGAGGCACTGGGGGGGCAGTGGCATGGCCCATACTGGCCACTGTTAGGGAGAGCTGGGGACAGCAGGGGAGGGCGAGCAGAGGGCTGGAGCTTTCACAAGTTCTCTGTAAAAATCTGTGGCTGGTCCCGTTCCTTCCTGTCATTTTTTGGCACTGCTGCAAACCAGATGTGATTAAGGCTGCCTACTTATAATTCGGTGTAACTCTGTTTTCTATTTTAAGATTTTTGGTGTCAGCCAGCCCGGGGAGTAAGCAGATGTGGCTGTCTCTGATGCCTGCATTTATTGACCAGAGAGATTAATTCCTCAATACTTCCACATATTTCAGTAAAGTGTAATATGTCCTATAATAAGCTGTCTAAAAGTATGGTTTGTAATTTTCCGATGCATGCAGAATAGCAACATCCTAATGCAGAAATGAAAGAGCTCCCTCAAGTGGTTAAAAATATTATTACAAGTTTTATTTAAATTCTTTCTAAAAAAAACAAAACAAAATTACAGTAATGTTAGATCTATAATGTAAAACCGCGTATAAATGTAGCAATGAATGATCTTCCTTTTTACATAACCATAAAAAATGGTGTGGATGTAAGACAGAGGCCAAAACTCAGTCAGGCAAGTGCTGCAGTTAAAAAAAAAATGTAAATTTAGGAAACTGTAGAGGACTTCAGCCTGATCGGATGATGCATGATTGAATTTTGGCAGGAAAACTGAAAACTAGCTCCAGCAGATATCACATTGTTAAGGATGCTTGAAGTGTTTATAAATCATAAAGATTGCTTTTTAAAAACTCCGGTTAAAGTTTTCACAGTTCCTTCTATCATCATGTCAAGATTTTGCATATAATTACCCTTTCTCCTCTTTACTTTTTGTGAGGCGTAGAGTTTTCAAAATATTTGGTGAAAGAGATTCATATCAGCAAACTTTGGAGAAAACACAGAAGCAGCAGGAAATAAACTCCAACTTCAGCGAGCAATTCTTCACTCAGTTAGTTTCCAAGCAATGAAGTTGCTAGTTTTGCTGGCAGATGAAATAGTCAGAAAGAAACAATCGCATCTCTCTCAGCAGAGGGCAGTGGTATCCCTACTCACACATCACATCATTTCTTGCTGCTGAACTGAAATCATCCTTTTAAAAAAAAAAAAAGTTACACCCTACTGCCAGCTGGCTGGTTGCTGCCGTCCTCTCCATCTCAGAAATTCAAGTGCTGAGCTTCTTGCCACGATGAGGAGGTGCAACAGCCAACCTAATTGCCGTGATTCCATTGCTGAAAAGGAAAACTTGCATTATTTTCTGAGGAGCAAATAATTTTTCCTTTCCCTAACATTTTGAAGTAATAGAATGAATCTTGCCAGCTGGGCTGGTGTAATAGCTGGATTTTTGTTTGTTTAAATTGAGAAGGTTACTCCTCCGGTATATTTAAAAAGGAGAAGATCCTTCTAATCTGGCTAAACATCAAATCATGAAGGGTATTGAATCTGTATAGTTATAACTACTATCTAACTCTGCTAAGCTGAACTGTGTTTTCTGGAACTGCTCTTTGCCCGCTGTGACATACCAGCTTTCTTTTTCTTTTAGGCTCAGAAACAACTTCACCTGGTTCCCAACCACATTATATATTAGCATCGTTCTCCTTGTGACACCAGCTCAAACCAATCTCAGATTTATTTTGCAGCTTATTCTGCTGCTTTATAAAATTGCATGAAAATATTGAACAGCCTCAATGAGAGTGTCTCTGAAGTTGTTTCAGCAGGAACACACGGCATTAAATGTGCATTCAGCCCTGGAAGGGTGACTTTGGAGAGATTAGTTCCAGAACAAACAGGTCTAGTTACTAGTATTGACTCTCTTGCTTATAAGGGCTTTCTAAATATTTTTGTGGAAACGCAGCACTGAACTTGGCCAGCATCTCCTTCCCGTTCCTACAGCAGCAACTGCACATATTCCTTGGGACTCCACAGATCGCCAGCTGTGTTACACAGCTGGGACCCTTCTCTGTGAAGGTAAGACACAGCAGCTGCAAGAGTAGACATTTTACACCTGGCTTAATGACTGCTTACTACTCTGTAGTAGTAATCTCTTCCGCTCCATATTTCATAAAAATATGCATCCTTTCTCTTTTTCCTAAGTAAATACAATAGTTTGCTATTGCTCTCCTGCTGTAGCTGCTAAGGTGCTTCGGTGGAGAAAAGTGTAAGCCAGTATTTTCTACCATTTTGTTGTTTCCCATTTA